TAGGTTTGGTTGAGTCTGTTGTAGCTGCACATCACGCTGGCAACCCCAGCACGGACAGAGTCTGCAAAAGGCCACAAGTACAACTCATGCAGGGTGCGATCGTCGATATTGGACGAAATCGCTGCGATTTCTGTGCCGTTTGCGAGCCACGAATTGGTCCGCTGGGTTTCCTGTTCATTCCCAATAAAGTGCTTCGCGCAAGCTTGTACGCCTGCTGATTGCATGCCTTGAATAGTGTGTTGCATCGCGATTCCCGTGAGGTAGGGATCAACTGAGAATCCTTCCCAATTGCGACCTCCTAGGGGTTGACGTCCAAGTGGACCAGCGACCGGGCTGCATGGCTTATTAGCATGCTGTTGACTTAACGCTCAAGGAATTCCAAACTCACCCAAGTCCGACATGGACGCCTTTGTCGTGAAACTCCTCGCCGAGAGCCTTGCCGCGCTGATAGATGAGCTCCTTATCCCAGCTCGCGGCCGTGGTGAGACCGGCAGGAAAGACGCTGACGAGATCGGCGCGGTCCAGCGCCGTGGGGCCATCGAGCAAGCAAAGTCCGGGGAACCCGACGCGCTCGATTGGCACAATGTTGCCAATGCAACCGCCGGCCTCAAGCCCGAGCTGGCCAGTGACCATGAGAGTCTTTTCGGTCAGATTGAGCTGGGCCACAAAGGCCGTCGCCTTGGAGGCGGCCGCATCCCAGTTCCGGACTGGGGAGGCTGGTGAGATCCGAGAGGCCGGAAAAGCAGCTGCTGGCGCCGCTGGCTGTGCTGGTCGACGGGCTAGCCAGCTGCCGGCGTCGAATAGCCTGCTGGCAGAGTAGGCCGAGATTAGGATGAGGCCCGTGAGGTACAACGCGAACGCGCCTGTAGTCCATGGTCTCGTACATCTTTGCAGCGGGGGAAAGAGGGTGGCAAGTCTAGTTGGCCGTTTGGTAGTAGGGTGTTGTTGGTTAGCGTAGGCAGCTTCCTTGGATTCCTTGGTAGCGTGAAGAAATTGAGTCTCATCGGGCATGATTTCGTCGGTCAAGAAGCTGCAGGGCTGGCCATTCAAATGGAGAGAGATCTTCTCATCTTCTGCAGCTCGGGGATGCGAAGCATTGATGCACGTTGGCTCCCGGGCCCCCGAGTCCATGATGGCGGGATCGGTTCTGTCCATTGTCGTTCGTCACTCCAGCGAGATAAAAGTGCACAGCCTTGTCGATGTCGAGCGATGCTTTAACACATGGCAGGGCGAGAGCACATCCGGGCGTGGGTTACTTGATGTGACCGGGTTCAGGTTTCAAGAATCCGGGGTAGAAGCAGAGAGGGCTGGCACAAACGTTCTATGCCTTTGAGCTCGATTCTCCGAGGCCGTTGGTAAGAGTTGGGGGCATGTGTTGAACAAGGCGTGTTCGAGAGTAGAGGTCGTGATGGAAGGTTTCCGGATGGAATGGATGTTTTAGGAAACGGAGAGTAGAAAAGGGCACCCGCTGGGAGAAGTAAAGCAGAGACAGACGCCTCTCCCTCGGCCGGCGGTCAGGGTCATTGCGTGACACTCAGCTTTGCCTCTTTTGGGGTGACACGGGTGAGAAGCTTTCCCCCTTGATAGGCGCGGGGGACTTGTGCCTGGTTCCTGGTGCGACTCTAGCCCTGCAAGGTCCGGGGGAGGGCCACATGGCGCGCCTTCCGGAGCTGGGAACCATCGCGGAGTCTCGGGTCCGGATCCGAAGGGAGAACCTGGCACCATGGGGCTCTTGCGACGTCATGATGGTCTGGCGGTCTGGTTTTCCGTGTATGCATTGCCATTCTCTTTGCTTGTTGATGTTCTGCAGGATCCAGATTGCCAGATTCCAAGTATTCCCAAGTTGTCTTTTTCTACCCTGCTTAACAGAGGCTTTGTGTGCTGGCGTATGCCAAAGAAGAAAAACAGCGCGTCGAAGATTACGATGATCGCCTTTTCGGATGCTATTCGCCCGATAACGAGTGTTCAGTAAACCAACCCTCAGCACTCACAGCGAACCGTTCTTGATGGGGTCAGTTTAGACAACTGCCTCGTTTCTTAAGCTCAGCAGGTCACTTCTTTTCCACTACTTACTCTATCTGCAGGTCGCAATTGGATTGCAAACGTTATTTGACGCAAGATGTCCCCGCACTGTCATTGCAATTCACGCAAAACACCCAGCCCCCCGTCGATAAGAGAACTCTTGGTAATGACTCACTCGCGACTCCACCACTGAGCTCCATAACATGAAAATTCTGCAAACCCATCATCAACAACCAAATGGTCGGTTAGCTCAGTTGGTTAGAGCGTGGTACTAATATTTCATCAGAAATGTTGAGTAATGCCAAGGCCGGGAGTTCAAGCCTCCCACTGATCATGTTGTTTTGCTCCTTCAAGTAATGATACCCCGCAAGCTTTCTTTTTTTATTCCAGGATATCAAAACGATCCGGCGGATGAATCCGGTTCTCACTGCTATGCTCTCGTTAGATACAAAGTGCCACACGAGGTTGAAAGACCTCTTTGGCAAGTGGGTTGCTCAACCTTTCATCGGGCGATGCGATCTAAGCGGGAGACACAGTCAAGTGCATTCTGAGTAATTCAATCTTTGGTAAAATGAACTCAGTCCATGCGAGATGCAAGCTCGTCATCTGATGGCTATCGACCGTTTCCAGATCTGTTTCCACGTTGCGATTCGAAGGCCGTTGGATCTTCTAGATCACGAAGGAACATTGTGAACCCACGTCGAGTAAGCTACGACGCAGTGAAGTCTGATCAAAGACATTTTCACGGTGTGTCTTTTCAATTTCAACCGCCTATGGTGGTCTATCAGACATGCCCCGAGCCATTTCCGTATTCTTATCCCGAAAACGATAGCCTTTTTTGTTTCGCAGTCTTCCAGAGTTGACATCTTAGAAACAGCTAGTCTCAAACACCCTCGCAAGCTCATAAGCAATGAGTTGAGATGAACTTGACAACCAGCGAAGCTCCGAGACGTAGGTCACCTCGTGCTCAGGACTTCCATACATTGCGCCCCGGAAAAACAGGTCGACTTAATGTGAGACCAAGGCTCAACGGTCGTGCATGCCGACCGGTCTAGAGTCATTGGGCCGCACTGATGGTGATAGGACGAGATCACTTGGTCGATGCAGCTGTGACGTGTGTCCAATACCGCCAAGAGACGAACGTGTTTTTTCACTCGGTCGGCGTGGGCAGACAAGACAAAAAGGTCGTCGGCAAGACGCCGTTTGTTTCTTTTCAGCTCGGGGATGTATGTCTGCGCGAGTCTTGTTTCACTACACTGACAAACCGACGTCTTTCGTTCACGGCGGGTAAGCCGTTGCCGCCGAGTGGTTCGAGCCCGAGCACTGTCCAAGCGTTCACGGCCTGCCGCGGAAAGCCAACGATCAGGACCCCAAAAGAGGTATGGCAGGATGCTGGTGTCTTCGGGGACCACACGGGCGGCAACTGTGGAAAAACCTGACGCGACGATGACCTGATCATCCCATGATCACGGCCTTGGCCTGAATTCCCACCACTGCCTAAGCATGCTTATTCATGCTCACGAGTTTCGTAAATAAAGGCCGGCAACCCTCCTCGCGACCCGTTCGTCTCGCAAAGATCATCATGGGGTCTGCTCTGGTTGTTGCACAAACTTGCACGAACAGCACGACGGCCTTTGCTTAAAGAAAAGAGGCGATATTTCTATGGTTGTGACATTCATTCGCGCAAGTCTGTTTGCCCTCGTGCGAAATTTCGGTCGCCGAAGAAGTTGCTAAAATTACTATTATGCTATTCCGTGGCCGCATCGTAACTGAATGCGGATGTCGCTAAGGTTGCTCATTCATTGGACTCTTGCTCACTTCTTGGAATATGATTACTATAATGACGGAAGCTGGGTTACTTACTTTTGATGGAGATTATACGCCGCCAGTCTCCAGATGAGAACTCCCTCGTTGGTCAATTGAGTAGTTACATTCCCACCACCCTACCCCCTTAGCTCTTGTCCCTCGATCCTCGAATAATCTTTGGGAGAACTTTTCCTCCGCCTCATTTTGTCACGGAGTTCAGCAGATATTCATAGCTCTCCCGCACGCCGGAGATTTGCACGGCAGTCATGAGAATTGAATAGGTATGACCAAGCCCAGACACAGTAAATGTTAAGTATGTTGACTTATGTGAATTGAGACTACCTTGTCTGATTTCCGCCCAAAGGATCAGAGAAGCAAGACTCGAAAGACGGTCCTCATTAGGTTCCTGCCTCACCAGGAGGTTGGTATGCTCAATGTCATTGCGCAATTTGCCATTTTCTGCCACCGTCGCCACTTTCATTATCGTGTACGTGTCACTTCCAACTCAAAGTGGTTTGTGACTCTTTAATTTCCGGGCTTCTGGGGCCTTGGTTTTGTTTCTTGCAATTAATCTTGTCATCGAAGACTTGTAACATGTCGTGTATGAATAATTAATCCCAGTAGGAGGACGTTCCGCTCGCAGTGAAGTGAGGTTAAGTACATCACACGTACACTGCTTCAAAGAGGCACGATGTGATGTAGCTGAGAGGTGACATCCAGCTACCATGGCAATATCAAAGTATCTCAAGGTGACTATGCTGTCTCATTGTTCTACCTAATCCGTCATGGTCGCGATCGGCCCGAGATGGTTCACTCATGCAAGAATGCGGCTCGAAATGACCTATCAGAAGCTGCAACATAGCTCCTCAGAGCTACGACTGACCACATCCGTCAGCAGCAAGCAGCATGAAGAGGAATGCAACAGTACCAATTATCACATGCTGAAGTGGCACATGAAAATCAAGACGGATTATGGCCTGAACACCGCGATGGGCTAAGGTATTTGGACGGGCTCAGTGACGTCACGATGAACAGCGTATGTTCGGAATTGTCTTAGCTCGCGTAGCTCAAGATAGCATGATAAATGCCACCACGAACCAAGGATATTCTAATCAGATTGTTCTGACTGGCTCATGCTACTCTTACAAATTTGACCGAACAGCACTGTGACCATGGCCACTCTCGAAGATCACAACTACACGAAGATGGAGAAGCCGCAAAGGCCGCTGAAGCCTAAAAAGCAGGCTGACAAGCTCGGAGAACCAGTGATTTGGTCCATTCCGGAGGTCCCGGTAACGCAGCAGCGTAAACCTTTCTTCCAACCGGAGCAGGATCAGAAGCTGGCGCACACAGGTATGATTGGGACATCACGACATATTGTGCGGGCAGGACACTAAAGACTGCTAGGTACTCCTAGGGTCAATATTGCGGCGACCTACGAGAAGCCGAACGGCACGACGGAACATGGTTGGGCGCAAAGGCATCGTCATCAAACAGTGCTGCAACAGCATTGCGAGTTCTTCGATAGTGTAATGATTCCCCTCACTCGCGGTCGAACAGAAAAAGCTGAATGATAATATCAGGACAAAGATGGAGTGATCTACCCCCATGATACATTCTGGGGATTCTACGCATTAGGATTCGGGGTCATTCTCTCAGTTCTTTCGGTCTTCATCATCCATGGCAACTTCTCTTACCCGACAGTGAGCGGGTATCTGCCAGACCCTCTCTTCCGCATCTTCCTCGACAGGGTTCACAAGGACAAGCACGGTAGTGACACAAACACGTACGATACCGAGGGTCGATTCAACCCGCAGAAGTTTGAGGATATCTTTTCTAAGTACGCCGAGGGAAGAGACTACATGACAATCTGGGACGTCTTCGCAATGCTGAAGGGTCAGAGGCTCGTTGCTGATCCAATTGGTTGGGGCGGTGCATTCTTTGAGTGTGAGTCTGCTTCTGGTACTTCACATGGACGCTTGCCCGATAATAACCAACGAACAGGGTTTGCTACATATCTTATGCTTTGGCCGGCAGACGGTAGGATGAACAAGGAAGATATCCGAGGAATCTACGATGGCAGCCTTTTCTACACCATTGCCGCTCGCAGAGCTCAAAAGTAAAGAGGCCCGTGTGGGTGTTATGATGATCCTGCGGCGAATGAGAGCATTTTGCAAAGCCCATGGCAATTTTGCTAGAGAACAGGCATAGTGAAGGGCGGAAATTGGTCATGGCATAATTTTGTAAAGGCCTGGCAAGAAGGTAGGACGGGGCGAAGAACGGGTTTAGGTAGAAACATTGACCATTTATCGATCATAAGATCAGATTTCGAATGACCGTCTCATGGCTTGTAGGGGATAACCAGGAGATCCATTATGCGTTGCTGTCAACCGATCGTCCGTTCCTCTTACTGCATGGATTCTGTGAGAAGCTTGTGCACATACGGACTTGGATGTGAATTGAAGAAACTGTGGCTATTGTAAACCATTTTCTCTGAATTTAGTGTCAAAGTCAAGATGGTGAGGAGTTGGATTTCGTTGCATCAAAATGTTCGCCCAGTTTCGAGAATCCACCGCGTCATCGGACCCCGACCACGATTTGAACACCTTCATGTTTGTCATCCGAGTCACGCTGCATAAGAGGATGGTCTTTCTGTTAAGTCATTAAATCATCAATTATAATCTGAGTCGGTATCTAAAATCTGTTTTACGTCTGGTATAAAGCCCAACCTTGAACCCCGTTAACCCCTGTTCCCAATTCATAAAAGTGTCGTTAATAGATTGATTGCGAAGGAATCTCTGCCACCTGCGTCGGATCCTTTACGTAAGGATCGACCGGGTAGAACTCCATAATGATGTACCACTGGATCAGACTGGCAATCAAGAACCCGAGTCCGCTCATAAGAAAAAGTGACGCAATCGCCACAGTCGCAGTCTTTGCGAGCAAAGTCACAACGCCGATAGCCAAAAACCCACTTGCGCCAACCAAATTCCAGAATCCGTTTTGCCAACTAGCGTCAAGCAGCTTCGGGACGTACCACTTGTCCTGGGACAAGAAGATCATGAGTAGGCCGGCAAGCACGAAAAGGCTGCCGCCAATAAGTTGAGGTGCAGATACGAAGATGATGGAGGCGTCGGGGTGTGTGAGGTCGAGGACGCCAGGTAGGATGGCGATCGCGGCGATAGTGAAGAAGGAGCCGGCGAGTAGTTGGAGGATACCGGCGCGGAAAGCTGAGCTTGGCCAGAAGATGTTGCGGAATTCGTACCAGCTGGGCCACCAGACCCATTCTTCGCTGCCCAGAAGCGCTGGCTTGTAAGCATCGGGTGCATCTTTCTTCGGGTCCAGAGTGCCTCTGTCGACGTTGAATGCAGCAAGCAGACCCATGAAGGCACTGAGAGCGAGCAGAGCGCTGCCTAAGGTAGCAGTGACCTGTACTCCTGTGTCGCGTCCAGGAAAGTCAAGCTTAGGGTCGAGGAGATGAATGAGGCTGAAAATGCCGTTCAGTGAGAGGCAGATCCCGGCTCCGATGAAAACCATGGTAACAAGCCATCCCATATCGCGATAGGGGTAGATGGTGAGCATTGCACCCAGTCTTGAGAAACCTTTACGCGTTCCACTCGATGTAGTTGAGAAGACATCGGGGTCTCGTTCTGGCTTCGCCTCTCTCTCAGCGTCACAGGCTGCCTTGTACGCTGCGTAGTCGACATGGTTGAATGTGCGTTTCCAGACAGCAGATGCGAACCTCTCGTCGGCCGATCTTTCTGAAGGGGGGTATCCGATGGAGCTGAGCGATGGGTATGGCGACGCCCAGGACTCGCGAACCTCAATGACCGTGGTAGGCGGCCTGAGGTACGAGACCCGACGAGGGTTGAAGGTGTTCATGTTGAGTTGTTGAGTGTGGTATTCGTGATCAGGGTCCCTTATCCCATGGTTGCTTGGCACGCCCTTGAAGTAGAGAGTCACGCTCGGGACGAGCAACTGAGCAGAAGTACGGGAGCACGATGACTCTTATTTACGCCTCGTTTTCCTTCTCCCGGAACGTCATGATCCCTCACCATCTTCTAGCTTCGACCGTGCCTTGCAGAGCCCAACCCCTCTAGCGGTCTGAGCATTGATGGTTAGCCCACGTCGTTTCAGTGCGTGCGTATTGGAGGGAAGAGACGACATACGAGGAGACATCCAAAGCTTCTGTCCTTCGCACGCCTCGAATACAAGGGGGTACCAAGCTGCGAATTGCTGGCGAGTGCTGAGCTGGAAGGCTTCAAGACACTGATCTCGATGTCGCTCTCGGCATGCACGGGGCACAACAATTCAGACGACGTACGTCCCCGCGTACATTCGAGACGGGCTGTACTTGCCTTTCACCATCGAGTAGGCCGAATTTACAGCGGCCTTCCTGAGACACGCATTGCCTTGAGTCCGGTTGATAAGCTGTCGTCCAGAAGTTTAGGACAGTCGTTGAGGGGGGATGGCCGTCGGCGGGGATTGGCCGCGAGCGACGAACTCTGTCCGGGGGTGAAACAAACCTTGAACCCCCCGTTCCCTTTCCCAACTTGCCTTTGGAACATACAAATATTCTTTTTTCCAACTTTCACTGCCTTCTTTCTGGACCTGGTCCGTGGAGTCACGCCAGGACAGACGCAGCAGGGCCGGAGGGCACCATCTGCAAGGAGGTCCCCGAGGACTACGACCACTTGCCTAGGTTGCAACTTCCAGCTTCCCGGTTGAGTGGTATTATCAGCTCCATCTGGTTGCGGTTTAGCTGTTCACTGACTATTGCACCGCTGGCGTATACCCGCGGACCCGTTACCGGCACTACGCCGTTTAACCTTTCGGCCGTCGCCTCGCTCGCGAGACCCTCTCAAGAAGAGTCATTAGGATACATGTAATACGACGGTGTTTTACTACATCATCGGATCCGCTGGACTTGAATCCACTTTGATTGATGATTGATCTCCATCATGGGAGCTTTATGGGAGTTACAAACTGGCGCAATTTTGACTCTCTTCGCCGAGACAAGTAATGGGGGAGAGCCAAACGTTGGGCAGTCCTGAAGCTGCGCGTCATCTCAAATTCCCGCCCTCCTTATCCGAAGATACCGTAACTTTGGCTTTACTGCGATGCCTTTCTCGCTCTTGTAGAGCAGAAAATAAGTCCCTCTCTGCCATATCAGCAAACTCACCACCATTCCCACCTGAGAAGGCCGAGCCGCCCTAGCCAAGGGCAACCTAGTTTGTTTCCAGCTGTGAACATGTCACTCTCCGGCAAGTCAAAGCTTTGCGGCTACAAATGGGATTTTGTTTTGGTGTTCGGACATTTTTTACTAGCTTCTCCTCCACACGGATCCCTGCTGCGCCTAGTCCAGGTCGGCCAACACCAACCGGCGCGCGCGCGGGCTACGCACGGCACGAACTCGGGTTTGTGTTTTGAACCACACTTTCCCTCCCCGATTCAAGGCAACAAACGGGCGTTGGGCCAACTTTCAGGCTGCTAGTGAGGGAGGCGAGAAGCAGTTGTGTCTGATCTTTTCAATTCATGCCTTCGCAATCGCTGTCGGCTGGATCCGCGAGCCTCCAAGGTGACAGGTAGGCAGCCCAATTCAAGGTCAGGGAAATGGCTAGCCGGTGCCGAAAGACTAAGCCAGTGTAAACACAGGGGCAACTCTCTCATCTCGGCTCCGGGTGATCAACAAAGGCAAAATGATACCAGAGACAATGAAGTCGTACCCAGAGGATAGCGAGATGTTTTGAGACCAAGAGGCAAATTAGACAAGATAGATTAGTCATGGAGCACAGTGGCACAAACAACTTAGAGTGGCTGTGTGCAGGCGTTTGCAAATCTGCTGCGAACTTGCGCTTGGAGGATTATTTATGGAAAGCCAAGAACCAAGCGCCAAGCGCTGCCAAGTAGCAGCAAGCCCCCATTCGCAATGCTTGGTGTGGTGAGGCTCATCTGCGGTAGTGTTCGTGAGATATCTGCAGCTCATAGCACGCGCCAAGAGCATAGCCAGGGCGGGTAGACAGCCTTGGCGACGATAAAAAGCCACAGCAGGTCAATAGATGGTGTGGGTGGTGGAATGGCGGTCCTCGTAGACCGAGTTGAACATACATTTGTTGAGACCAAAGGCACTTCAAGAAGGGTGTCGTATCCACCTCTCCGGCTCCTGACCTGGCAGCCCTACTGATAGTGCTCACGACCTGAATCATCTTCACAGGGATCATCGTAGGGCATGCGGAAGTTTATGGGATGGCGATGTCCCAGTCATTTTCCGATGAGTACGCCAGTGCACGCAGGCGGATAAACGGAATGTAACAGTAAGCCCCTGGCTGGGGGCATTCGAAAGAAGAACAAATAATTTTCCTTCAGGGTCGCAGTCTAAAGATTAGAATCAAGCTCAAAAGAAGATTCAACTAAATCTTTTGAATTTTAAGATTACTGATTAAGGCTATCACGAATTAGATTCTCGGCGGTGGCCTCCCGAAAAACAAGCTGAGCAGCCGGTTTTCCAGAGCCCCAATCAGGTCCCAAGTTGGGCTTCTCGAGAATTCAAGCTTCTGATGAATCGGAAAGTGGAGAGATTTCAACGGCATTGACCGTTGGTCTGGTAAGCTTTTGCTGGCAAAGTCAACTTTGTCTGTGCATGAGCAGACATCCCAATTCGGACGACCTGACAAGCGACAGCCAAGCCCAGCCTGGTTCGAGAGTTTAGCTTGACTCGAGTAATTATGGCTCGCTTAGTTCCTTTTTGTTGGATACGGCAACATTCATCAACCACTTCACGGGGTAAACTTGGCCTCAGAGGATATATAAACCTCAATTATATGTTGTAGCGGGCGTGTCTGGGGTTCCGGCCGGTGTCGTTAGGAACAATCTTCCTGTGATTGTTTCAATAGACGTCATCAGTGGTCTTCATTTATGCTTCCAAGACGAGTTAACGATTTCTCAAAGGTACCAAACTAGCCGAGACGGGATATCTCCGACTTGTTTGTGATTCGAGACTCTTTCTTCTTCCACTTATTGCAACAATGAGTCAGACTGTGATGGCGGGCTGTGACACAGACATCGGACCCTGTTGCGGTCAAATACGAGGTCTTGAATCAAACTTAATGGAGATATCCAAAGTAAGGTGAACACCCAGCGGCTAAACGGAGCATTATGTTTACGTTTACGGCCCGTCTGTCTCCGTAGGCAGCAAAGGAAGTTGCCGTTTGTTCGTCTGAACTTCGCTTCGCCGTCTTGGTCCAAAGGGGTAATTGTGGGGCCTTGGTGAGGCCTCACTCCACCATTGACTTCACCTTTGCGCAGGCTGAGTACGATCACGAGATACACAAAGAAGAAAGGTGAAATGAGTGGGAAAGTAGGACTCAGGACTCAGTGGGACACGCATCTTATAGATATTCCATAATGCCGGTGCCGCACCTGCCAGACGTGTATTCATCTCTGGATTGCGAGATGGGAGGTCAAGCCGGCTCTGGTAATTAAGACAACCACACCCGGTTTGTCCAAGAAGCAATCTTTCCTTTCCTCAACTCAATTTTCTCCATTACTTCCATCCCCACGATCCTTCCTACCAAATCCATACTGAGTCTTTCCCGCAAGATAGCAAAAAGCTTCTGTCAACTCATCATTATCAACTGCGCAACACGCGAGACTGGTTGACTCTGCACGAATCCTGTACACTGAGAAGTATCATACTCGACGCGAAGCATTTACCGGCCGGTCCGAGGTCGTTTGCGACCGCATAAAGAGCGATGGACCGCCAAGTCTCCAACAACAAGCGGCAGCGGGAGGCCGCAATGGGAGACTGGCCCAAGATGCCGGGACAGTTTCCAGGGGCTCGATCTGTCCCTCCTCTGGTATTTAATGAGCTCTGTTGTTCAAGCGGCGCGATACTTACGACGTGTCACTCTAGGTACAAACGAGCAGGGTCCAGTGGCCTGATGTCCGATTTGCAGAGAACATATCGAAGGCTCCGGCATCTCCTACTGCCAATCCCGAAGTGGAGGAGTTTCGCAAATGGCGCAGCGGAATTGACAAATCCCTGACCGATATCCATCTGAAGCTCGACCACCTACTTTCTGAGACCCAGGAATTCCGCGCGATGGAGGCGCACTACAAGAACCTCCAGGAGAACACGCCGATGGGCACTAATCTTTCCAATTCCTGCCACCGACTTGATCTTCATCAGCAAACCATTGTCGAGACTGTGCAGAAATTGGAGACCACAATGAAGCAAGTTGACGACCTCACGCGTGAAGTCACTCACTTAAAGGATGGCTCTGAGTTCACTGTGTCGTTTAGATCGTCGGGTCGCAAGTGAGTTCTTGGAAGCATATATCTAGCAGATCGGTATTCACAGTTTTGCAGGCAGTATTAGATGGTGTCATTCATAGCGGACTTTTGTACAACGTTGGGACCAGATTGCATTTCACACTTCTGCGTGCTGCCAACGTTATTTTATGGGTATAGCGAGATGCACGTCTTTGTTACCGGTCATGACAGCATCTTTTACACAAGGGAGTTGGCGTTGCTTGGATCGCTTTAGGGATGAATACGGGAGCGCTGAACGAAGAAAGGAAGAAGAAAATCATCATGGTACTGGGATGGCATTTCTTTGACGAACAGACACGTAGAGGAGCGCTTGCTGTTTTCACAAAGCTCATGATGCGATTATGTTGATCGCTCTCATGGCAATTGAGACATAAACCTAGTAATAGAGTGGTATGCTACGGAATTCTGGGAGTCTAGCAATATTTCAGTGCTGAAACGGGGCAAGGAGGTCAGTTCTGTTGTCTGCGACGTTGCCCAAGGTTGATGTAAATCCGTGCTGCTTGATACCCTCCATTGAATGAGAAGATTCGCAGTCTTTCTTCAAAAGTGTCTGCCGTTGTCTCCCTGATGCAATTTCTAAGACTACTCTAATATCCGGTCTCTTCTTGTCGAGTGGTGACCTCCAAGCTATGTGGTCATCAGGACGGATGAGAACCGCATCTCTACCCCACACCTTCCTAGCCTGGATCTCTCCGGGCAAATGAACCTTCGTCAGCGGGATATTGAGCATTCCAGCTGCTGCCTCAAACTCTTGACTCCAGGTCCCAGCTTGTGTGAAGTCAATGATTGAAAATCCTACTCCAAACAGGTCGAAAATACTGGTTTTGCCATCCCGAAGATAGACATGAGGAGCACGCCCACCAGGCCATGAGGATGGCACAAATGTTCGCGGATCCCATGAAGGCTCCTGTTCTCCTTCTCCAGCTTCGTTCTGGAGGATGACAGGCGATGCGTTGTACCGATATCCCATTTCGATTCCGTGGTCCTTGTTCTCACCTTGGTGGGTCTCGGTATGTGCCTTTATGCGGTTAAACAGAAGTCTACGCTCCTCCCTATTGAAAAGGACATCTGAGCCTCCGTCGGCCACCCAATTGACATACGTCTGGTGAACTTGAAAATGTTGACCAGACCGTTCGATGTTGCGAATTGCAACCGGTCTTCGTTCGACTTCGTAGGAGCGGAGCAATTCTTGCCCTCCCCAGCCATTGAGAACAGCCGATAGTTTCCATCCTAAATCAAAGACGTCGCCAACAGCCGTATTCATGCCGTATCCACCAGTGGGAATGTTTTGATGAGCTGCATCGCCGGCTAGGAACACTCTGAGACTTTCAGAAGCAAAACGTTCGGCAATAGCGATGTTTGGGCGCCACGAGCTGCAAACGAGGATTTCGTCCACCTTGATAGGATAAGGAGCCAAAGACCCGCCCAGCCCTCGGTATATGGACTCTGTTGGATCAAGGGACTTCCAATCAGTGTCGAGAGATATGGGAAGATGGATTGTCCATGTATCAATTTCGTCTTGAGATATTATGACGCTGCCGCTGGTGAAGAAGATGTGCCAGAATTGACCTTGCTTGTGCAATGCCGTGAGATCTCGCGACTTGAAATGAATGAGATACATCGCAGAAGGTCTGGAGAATATCGCATTAGAGACTGGCAGTTGCTAGTCTTCAACGGAAAACCATGCTGACTCACACAGGACCACCAATCATCTTCATGTCAAGTTGCCGACGGACGCTACTGCCAGCGCCATCACAGCCGACCAGATACTGACTGGTGACCATGTGCCGCTCTCCTGTGACGACGTTGACGAGTTCCGATTTCACCCCGTCGAAGGTTTCCGTACAGCTTTCGAATTTGAGACCGAAATGATCTTCAACTAGCTCTTCGGACTCTATGCGACGCTTTAGCCAGGCTTCAAAAATAGCCTGACTACAGCGCTGGTATGGCTCCCTTGGCATGGAGCCATCATTGCAAGCATGGATACGCTGGCGCCATTCGTCTGGCGAAGGAAGATCCTGCTTTCTCGTGAGAAACATAAAGCTATTGACCTAGTAGGGGTAGCCGGACAAGCATAAGCTTACCCATTTGCTAATGAGCTCTCCATGCTCTGAGAGGCTCGTACTGAAGAGAACGTTGAAAGAATAGTGCTGTGGGACGCCTTGAGTCCGCAAGTCATCGGAAATCCCGAGTCTTCTTAGCAGCTCCATGCTTCTACAATTAGTGATATCCATTTTTGGCCATTTGGTTGAATCTAGGTTTCGTTCAGCTATCAAGCTTTGAACACCATTCTTCGCCAACTGCAGTGCCAGAAGCAACCCAGCGGGACCAGCGCCAACGACCAAGACTGGTACGTGGTGCTCAATTACCTGCTGAATCATCAGTCATAAAAACGTCGAACCAGGCAGTTGAGCAACAAAATTCGACGTACAATTGTCGAGCCCATGGTTAACGCGATTGAATAATTCGATTCCGACTAGCAAATCCTTGGGTGAAAGTCACATAGCTCAGAATGACGACAATGTTTTCCTCAGATGACTTTGGGCTTTTTGTACATTAGCACCTCGATCTGGCGAGAATATTGTCGACCGCTCTCACTGTGCCGGCGTCCACCGCGGTGATCTTCATCCGGCTGAACTCTTGTCCAAGGTCCTTCACTTGGCCGCACGTGCCTAGTCAACGTGCCCCCCAAGGACGGCAATTCGGAACGCCGTGGTTGACCGTCCCCACACAGATACTGAGTTCTAAGTACGGAGTACCTAGTGTGGCCATCTCAGAAACTTTAAAGCTCAGAGGTTCTCAGCAATCATCTCGACATGTTCCCGTATAATGGCATTTTCAGTCAGCAGCTGCATACTATCAATACCTTTTCATGTTGAGGCGTGCCATGCAGGCTTGCAGATGCTGAGAGGGTGTCAGGAGAAGACCGGAGCATCACAGATGGCTGAAGTTGAATAACTTGTTTGAAAGTGTACTAGGTCCAAGGTAGATGATACATGTAAAAGAGGGTCGATTTTGATTACCCCATGAGGAATGCGTTGCCGGTCTAGCTCCCGTTGAAGCGACCTGTGCCCAAGCAGCCCCTGCATCACATCCCGTAAACCCCGGGCGGCCCCTCACCTGGAATCTGGGGTAGCCAGCGGGGCACATCTCCAAGCTACATGAATTTGCTTCATTCATACATCGACATGTTCATCGTCGTCCTCTAAGCGTCGTTTACATCCACTCCATATCGCCCAAAGCCTTACGTTTTCCGGGGCTATTCTTGTCCTGACTGCATACGACTTGCAATTCTAGAGTCGCGAACGTCTCCTCCAGCATCGTTATCGTTGCACAGGCTTGATCCAGATGGAGGCCGAAGCAAATATCACTGGCTTAGGACCGACAAAAGATGCCCGGGTCTCAAAAGACAGCAATATCATTGCAGCTATTCCCCCAGAGAGGGGATTTCGCGCTTGTATCGAGTGCCGACGGTAAGTCGCCGCCTACAGAGTATGACTTAAGGTCACATCACTGTTTCTCCTACTCTTCCCGGCTTAATCGTACTGACTTCTTCCAACGCAGCAAGAAGACAAGGTGTATGCAAGGACTTCTGAATTTCCCTACGTTTCTACCCACGTCACTGATCTTGAACCTGTAGGCGATATGCGGCAACCCATCTGCGGTCTCTGTCGGAGAACAGGCGGGTCTTGTACATTCCCGACAAAAAGGAAAGCCCCCGAATTCCGAAAACGGCCCGCAAAACAGAAGGATTTAAACGTGATAGACCCTCAAAGACTTGGTTAGACCCAATTTCATCCCGAATACGTCAATTGTGTTTGTACTAAGCCTCTGATAGAACATCTTGTTAGCCTTCTTGAATCCAGACTCGACGAAACTCCAAAAAGCCAAAGCTCTACGGGCCAATCTCCAGGAAGAGAGCAAGGCAGCGATCAATCAATTGCTACGAGCCCTAGTTACTCCGGATCAGTTGGGACTTGTCGAGACGATGCGGAGCAGGACGCCATAGTGGCCCTAGGCTGTACTTCCGCCAACTCAACAAGCCATTGTCTCGAGCCCAGAGCTGATCGAAAAGTCGAAATCGAAGCTAGAGGTGCTGGAGAAAGCACAGAAAAGAATTTATACCGGACCGAGATACCTACTGAAGTGGCAACAGAGCTCGTCAATTTGTACTTCGATAAAATTCAAGCATGGTTGCCATTGCTTCATCGACCAAACTTCTTCGCCAGGTACATTGTCGATGGTAGTTTCCATAAAGAGAGGTTACTCCAGGTGTCGCTGGAAGAGGGCCTTCTGTTATATGGTATCTTTGCTCTCGCCGCGCGACACTCAAATAATGAGTACTTCCAGGGATTGTCACCACCGAATCGTGGGGATAATTTCGCCGAATGGGCGATTCAATATTACGGCCGACTGCGATCGTCCGATAGCGAAACAACGTTGGAATATTTACAGGGGTGTGTATTGTTGGCCTTTTATCTCTACACGGCCGGCCCAAGTCATCAAGCATGGATACTCACCGGGGTATGTGTTCGCTTAGCTTACGACCTCGACGTCTGCTGTATGGACGAAGAAGACGGCGGCAATGAAATGGCGTCCACAAAGTGGTCGGCAGAAGAGGAGCGTAGGAGAGCATTTTGGCTCGTATGGGAGATCGATACGTTCGCTTCAATCCTCTCAATGAGGCCGCGAGGACTCAACAGCCAAAGGATCATTGTGCGTCTCCCGGTCAGCGATGAAGCGTGGTTTTCCAACAACCCATGCGAGTCACCGGTCATTCCACTTAATCCAACACAGGTTTGGAGAGTCTTGCTCGACTCTCCGAACAAAGACGAGCGAGCGTGGTTCCTCGTGGCCAACTATCTGATGGCTTTGGCGTACGAGGCAGCTTCAGGCCAGCAGAAGTCTCAGCGAGAATATAGCGATCTCGCTAGCTCAATAACTTACTTCTCTCTTGCAGTTTCTCGAAGATATGGACTGGAAACTAAGCCGCCTGTCTTCACTGCCAGGACTTTTGCGAACGCCAATTGGATTATTGGCATGCATCTAATGTTGGCAAACACTCAAGCGTGTTTACAAGTTCTGACAGCAACACCGGCGTCGGGTGTTGCGACGATCGGAGATGACTATTCGAGAATCCTCAACCGTTGGCACCCCGAATACATCGCCTTCAGTCACCCATTCTTCGCCGGAACACTTCTTTCTGCCCGCACCTATCCATCAACGTCTTCGTCGCGGTCACTAAGTTCATCGTGCAACCAAGAGCTTTCAGCCCTAATTCTTTCCCACTTTGCTACTTTCTGGGAGCTAGGTTCTGTGCTGCTGGGTGAGTACATCCGTTTCTATATCGAGACCATTCATTCACTCTAATGGTGCCGATTCTCGCAGGCCTGATGACTTCCAAGTCAATAGAATATAAGAGAAACCTCGAGAAACAATCCTCATTGAGAAAATACTGCAAGATTTACTTTTCTCATTTGAATCTGCACAATGAGTCACTCAGAGCCACAAATAAAACTCGATCGGGTATGCGACAGTCTGGTGTTGGATCTGTCTATGACGGAGCGTCTGAGCCACATGGCGCTTGCCAGTCTCCGAGGGAACTTTTCGACATCGAATTGGGTTTGGATGAAAATGTGGGCGAGATACCACAACTCCTCGCAAATACGTCTGAGGGGTGCTATAGCTGGTGCTCCCCTGTGCAGTTGGAATATCTATGCGGTGATAGTTTTGGGTTCAACTGCTTCGAGTCGAGCCTCTGAACAACGTCGCAGACATCTCTTTCGTATCCCGTTCTTTTGCGCGTCAAAAGACGATCCAATTTGCGATTCTCTTCAGTCCAGAGATCCCTACTTTTACCAAGTCACCGTCCTTGAGAAAGGCGCCTCGAAAGTAACCGACGCCAGAGGGAGTGCCTGTCATGATCACTGTTCCCCTCCGCAAAGTCGTGCCTCGAGAGAGGTGGGCAATGATCTGGGCTACCGACCAAATCATGTCACTTGTACCCGTCTCTTGGACCACCTCCCCATTGACAGTTGTCGTGAGATGAAGCTTTTGGGGATCTGGCACCGACTCGGTTGACCAGATTGCGGGGCCCACAGGTGCAAAACCGTCAAATGATTTCGCATAACAAAATTGTCCACCAGAGGCATCTGGCAGTTGAAAGTTCCTTGCAGACACGTCGTTCCCAGCTGTGTATCCCAATACGTAATTGAGAGCCTGATCTTCCTTGACGTCTTTGGCATCGCGGCCGATGATGACCACGAGCTCTCCTTCGTAGTCCAGTTGAATCTGAGCGTCTGGATGTACTTTGATATCGTCCAAAGGCCCCGCCAAAGCATCACTAGGCTTCGTGAAAATGACGGGAAAGGTTGGCACCTTTGACTAGACGTTGCGTCGATACGTAAGTAAGTTTTTCTCAGTTCGGGAACACTACACTGTGTGAGGGCCAAGGGCAGGACTTGGGCATTATGCATACCTTTGCTTCTTCTGCATGTTGCTTGTAGTTGAGCCCTACACAGATAATGATGGGACAGGCCTCAATGGGGCATAAAAGCAGCGTCTTCATTGTGAGTAAATGCCGAATCGGGCAAGGTGCACGAAGTACCTTCGCAGTTTTGACCTTGCGACCAGTTGATTTTAGACCTAGCCATGGGCTACCATCCAGCTCCAAGACATCGAAGCCCTTGTCATCACTAGAGTCGATCATATCACCATAGTGAATCTTCCCATCTTCCTCAAAATGAACAAGTCGATTGAAAGACATGGTCAACAGTGAGTCGCCAAGAGCAATTAGGTGAGCATATGGAAGAAGACTTCCCAGCCTGTAGCAATTAATCGAAAGAGCAACCGAGTAAAGAATCGGGTGAGGATCTCTCATTCCGGAATCTGTAGATAGCGAAAGGAAGAACCGTCAAATAGAGTTAGTCCCTTGGCAGCAGGAGCCCGTGTCTTCCGGCAGATGCAGGTCAAATAGCCAGGCGGCATTCGCGGTAAAGCCGTTCAAGGCCGCGGCACATCATCGGTCAATAAGTCCGCGAAATCCCGTTGGGAAATCTAGTGCATTGCGCTACATATATGACCAGCCATTTTGAGTATCCAAGAGCCTGCACGTAATCTGATTCACTGTCCGTAAACCCATCCAGCTTATCATTAGTCGCGTGTCGCACCCATGGCTTCATCACCACAGAAGATTAGGGTCATTCGTCTGGCCTCAGTGCTGTATCAGCACGTCGACGTCGAAAAGGCAGCCCAATTCCTTGAAGACTTTGGCCTTCAAGAGTTGGCTCGGCAGGACGGACGTGTCTATTTTGCCGGCTTCGGTGTTGACCCGTACGTCTATGTAATTGAAAGATCTCCCGGCTCACGTCGCGCATTTATTGGCGCAACCTGGGTCGTGGAGAACGAGAACGACCTTGAGGTCGCTGCGAATCACCCTGACGCTACAGGCATTCACGGCGAGAAAGGTCCTGGAGGTGGTAAAAGAGTAGACATTGTCGACCCGAATGGGTACTATGTTGGATTCATTCACGGCCAGGCCCCAAGAAGCGATGTTGGCAATGTGGACAAAAGCCGGATTGCTGACGACGAGAGTCCCCCCACCAATCTGGTTGACGAAAAGCCAAGAAAAGGTCGTTTCAAACGCTTCAATTACGGGCCTAGTCCAATTCACAAGCTGGGGCATTATGGATTCATGGTCCCCAAGGACACCTACGAGAAAACGCTGAAGTGGTACACTGGCCTTATGAACCTAGTGCCTACTGACGCGGTTTTCGACCCTCGGACAAACAAAGACACGACTTGCTTCATGCACATTGATAGAGGAACCACTTTCACTGACCACCATGTAAGTGGCAAAGCCGTGTAATCTTTGGTGCATCTGTTGATCACGGACCCAGAGCTTTTTCCTCGGCGCCCATCCGTTTAGCCAGACGCCTTTTGTTCATCACGCTAGCTTCGAGGTTAATGATATGGATACTCAAGCTCTCGGCCACGAGTGGCTTTTGAAGAAGGGTTACACCAACTGCTGGGGAATTGGACGGCATGTCTTGGGCAGCCAACTATTTGACTACTGGTAAGCATGAACGCGATCCCCAAGACTCCAAGGAACAAGTGCCGAAGGGTGGAATAACGGGATATTCGCCATAGGTTTGATATATCGGGAAACATTCTTGAACATTATTGCGATGGAGACCTGGTCAACGAGAACACTGAAGCTACCCGGTCTCCAGAAGCACCAGATTCACTCCATGTTTGGGGTCCAAACGTTCCTCTCGGTTTTGTGACTGGCAGAATTGAGGATGCAGGGAAACTCGTAATGCCATCAGCAACTTGAAGTCTCAATCGACGCAGTGCAGGTGAGCATGCAGTAAGCGTGCTTATGTTACGAGCGTTCGACTGAGCTGATGCAGCGATGCGAGACGCCACATGCAGTCATATGTAGTTTTATTTGATGACTAATTCAAGAGTCTGCCGGAGCGTGTTCAAAGATTCTACCTAGCATGAAACTTGTTTCCATGAAACTGGTGACAGGTTTTCCCAGCCTAAGGTATGCACAATTATTCGTAAGGGCTGTCTTTGATCGGACAAACAGATGCTCCAGTCTTTCCGGTCGCTGGCTATAGAACGGAGAATAAGAGCACACAAAAGTATTCAAATTACCGCTAACTTAAGGTTTTCGCATGGTCTTTTCATCCCAAATTTTGATGTTTACCTCTGTGCCGGCAACGAGGTAATAGTTTCTGCCATCATGTGACACATGGATGTGCGATGTGGAAGCCTTTTTTCTTACAAACCTCCAGAGAAAGTTCGTAGTCAAACAGGTTTGTTGGCAGATTTGCAGGATCATTCAACGCCTTCCCTCGAGTACTGCAGGGATGAAGCTTTGAAGAATGCGGGTGATGGTCATGGGGTCAGTCGTCTTACGGTTAGCTATCGCATCGGCAAAGCTCGGTCAATGGCGGTCAACCCATCGTTCCGAGCTCATTCTGACATCGGTCAGCATTACCCCCTTTGGCAAGTCGTTTCCATCAGCTTTACGCGTCACTGTGACGAGGAATTGGTTTTGCTGGAACCGTCCTATATATGCGTGCTCGGGAACGCAGCACAGCTCCTTTTATTTCAGACATCTTCGATCGCACCTCATGAGTGAACACCCATACCTGAAATACATGTAAGTTTGCTGGAATCGAAATGAAGGTGGTCATTATTGGTGCCGGAATCGGTGGTCTGGTTTGCGCCATATCCTGTCGTCGGGAAGGCCTCGAAGTTGTAGTTCTCGAACAAGCTGCTGCTTTACAGCCTGTAAGTGCCATTCCGATGCACCTTGAAGCTGAAGACTTGAGGGGGCTACTGACAGTGTGAGTTCAATAGGTCGGCGCAGGGATACAGATACCACCTAACGCTGCCCGGATCCTTCGCAAGCTCGGCCTCGTACCCCAACTGCTAGACAAGGCCACTTTGGTCGATACAATTGACTACCTTCGATACAAAGATGGCAAGGTCTTGTATCAGATGGAAGGCGGCGAGAAGATGAAGCAATCCTATGGCGATCTTTGGATGTCAGTTATTGCCCGAGGTGGCGAGGTGCGTTGCTGATGAAGCTGAGTCTGGCCCTCTCTTAGGGTTATTGCTCGACCACACTACCACGGTGTATTATGGAGCGCGGCCAAGGAGGCTGGCGCAGAGTTACGACTTGGCACGGAGGCAGTGGCGATCGATTTCGAAAACTCAAGTGTGCGCCTTGGGACTGGCGAAATCGTAAGGGGTGATGTTGTCGTTGGTGCCGATGGTCAGTCTGCCCACATTTCAAGTTGCTATTTCTTGACGTTGATCCGAGACTGGCAAAACATGTCCTTACTAATACCGCGGAGGTCTCTGGTCAAGATCGAGGGATCAGATTCTTGGCCGACCCTCTCCACCGTCTGAGACGGGAGACCTTGCATATCGAGCCACCTTGACCTTGCAGCAGATGAAGGATTTGAAAGACCCTCGGATAGACGACTTGATCGAGCATAAGACAGTCAAATGCTGAATGGGCCCGAATAAGCATTGTGTTCTTTATCCCATCGGCGGTGGACAGGTATTCAACCTTGTCATTGTATGCCCAGATGACATACCCAAAGATATGAGACAGGCGCCTGGGGATGTGGAGGAGATGCGAGCTTTGTTTGTCGGCTGGGATGAAAGGTCCGGTGAAAATTCTCTTACACTGGAGTATTGTTACTGACCTGATCGACGTAGACTGATAAAAATGCTGTCATGTGTCCCGTCCGTTTTCAAATGGAAGCTGTGTCACCACGAAGAATTGCAATCGTGGAGGAAGGTAATCATTCTACGGACCTAGTATCTGCAAGTGATCACTGATTTCAACAGGGCCGCATAGCCTTGCTTGGCGATGCATGCCATCCAACACTGCCATATCAAGCGCAGGGCGCAGCAATGGCGGTAGAAGATGGCGCTGTTCTGGGAAAGCTGCTTGGGCAGTTGGAGAGCTCAGGTCTATATCATGATGGGACCAGAGACACTGTACTGGGCATGTTGGAGATCTACGAGAACTTACGAAAGTCTAGGACCACCATCAACGTTCAGGGAGCAAGGTCAAATCAGCGTGCATATCATTTGCCAGATGGCCCCATTCAGGAGTCAAGGGATGCTTGGCTAAGGTCTGAACCTAGAGGAGCTTCACTCGATGGTTTCACTCTCGCTGACACGGCCTACCTCGAAGTTATTCTGGGATTTGATGCCTTGGAGGAATGTGTCGATGCTTTCGAGCATTGGAAAGCTGGCCAGTCACAAACTCTGCCGAGATACAATTTGTAGTGGTTTGTAAAGACGAGATAAAGCACTAGTGTCTTAAGATTTCATTCTTTCAGCCTTAAACAGTACAGGAGTAGGGGCATCATATGCCAGAGCGAGCATTGAGTGCCTCGTGGAGGAAAATCAGTATTATTGTAGATACATCAAAGGCGGCGCAGACACGGGAGCTATGACCGGCACGCCCAATTGAGCCCCCCCCCCCCTCCCAATGAGGGGGGTTCGAAACGCTATAGTTCTGGAGGATGGAAACACTGAAAGTACACGCATTTCAATGAACTGTCCCATTTGGGGCCCAAAGGTTGCAAATTACCATCCATGTGAAGACAACCCGGCATGCGCGGTCAAAGCAGGAGTGCCGTCTCGGCCTATGACGGGGAACTGATTCCTGCCATGACCAAATTTGACCATAAGATCGGGTGTCGCGCGGGGAATGAGCCGTATCTTCTCCCGGGCTTGGCCGTTCCCACAGTCTTCCCCGAATCCCGACTCTACAGGCGAACATTCAAAAGAAGGTATTTAGCTTTTAGGCAGACAGCGGCCATTTGCAACATATTCGAGACTCCAATTCAGGGGATGTTCTTCCTATACTTGTTCGTAGCAGAGTCTTTTGCACTTAACTCGCCCTCACCTTATGCCCCATCAGTCATGCTGACTCGTAGCTAAGCGTTGCACCTTGAGTATGGATCTTCTATGCTTGATCGTCGAGGCTGGCCTCACCTGCCAAGCGTTTCTTTGCTTATCCACTACATTATGTATTCTATTCCTTTGGGTCCACTTTCCAAGTGACTTGTCGCCTGCATCATATCACTTCCTTGCCAAGCATACCGACATTTGGAAGTTGATTGATGTGGCCAGAGGACGAGCCCGCGAGACGCACTTGGCATTGCACGAAAAGCATGGGCAATACGTGCGCCGTGGGCCCAGTATCGATGTTAGTATATTAATGGCTAATGAGTGAGGCTATTACTGATCAATAACCGCTGGGTCGTAATACGTTGAGTCTTAGGGTTTCGAAGAACCTGGAGCTAATAAGAAACATCACCCCATACCAAAGCGTGACTTATTACAAGGGTGGTGTCATTTACTACTATCTAAAACGACTGACTGGGTCGTTAAGTTCACAGACCCGGAGGAACTGTTCCTTGATCCAGACGACTTTGTCCCTATGCAGCTGACGACAGATAAGTTCTCCGCCTTCCTTTGACAGCACTTTGATCAGGCTGTTCAAGTGAAGCAGTGCGTGCGAAGGGCCTTGAATCAGAATATGTTGCTTATAATCAGAGAGACTCATTGCCTCGTCCCCTCGGATATACTGCATACGTGTAGCTTCGTCAAAGTTCTGGTCGTGGTAGTTGGGGATTCTGATGGCAGGGTCCGCTAAGTCGTGCAAGCCTCTGTGATTTTGGCGGTTACCCAGGTAAAACGGCATGGACCGGCAGATGGAGTCCACCAACTTCCTGCCGTGATTTGGATCTGGAAAACTGGAATATTTGGTAGCGATCAAGATAGTTTGCTGCAGCGCCTCGGGGGGCGCTTTCGCAAGCAGATAGAATTTCATCCGCAGGACCATGAGCTGGCAAACGCGCCATACATTCCAGATCGTGGCAATCTGGACGGTCGGGTATATATCGCAGGACCCAAAGTAACTCAAGCTGTCTTCTTCGAGCCCTTGGCAAGGCTGCCATGAGGCCGGCACTAGCTGAATCCAATTCAAGAGCTGTGCGTTAACAGACGAAGCCTCCTGCCACCAAGTCGCGAGGGTTAGATCATCTAAGTTATTCTTGGCCAGCCCGCACATAAAGGTGGATAGTCTCCTTTGCAAATCGGCAATCGAGAGCCCGATCAGGTCCAAGACTGCATTCGGATTGGCCGGCGTAGAATAGTCCCACCCTGCATCGAACCAAACATCCAGGCTCGAGGTGTCCTCTGGTTGCATTTCCATATATGTCGACACGTCACAGTGCCGCAGGTATCTCCTCAAGTATGCGCGGCAATCCGACTCTGGGACGCTCTCGGCGCCATGTTCCAACAATGCACGAGCCCCTTCCTGGTGAGCACGCATGGTATGCTGGTGCGTCGACCGAGCAACGAGGCTCTCGTAGAAATGCATCAAGATGGCGCTGAGTACGGTACTGTCCTTTGACCGCTCGAGGGGATCATTAAGAGCTGCTCGTAGGCGACTCAGCGCCCTGGTAAACGGAGGATGAGGCGTTCGATAGTTATTGGTTGGGGTTTTCCATAAGCTCCACAGCTTCGTTGACACGGCAGTCAGGACGGTCGAGAGGACAGAATCCGGATGCTCCTTGGATACGACAGGGAGAAGAGGCTCCAGGAAACCCTGGGTCGAGCGAAAGCTGCGTCCTAAGCCCGCGATCGAGGTGTGAAAGAAGCAGACGGCGAATGATTCGTCGCTGGTGGAAATCCTTGCTGGTACGACAGCCTGCATTGTCCATTCTGGCGTTGTCAACATGCGAGGGCTCCTGAACCGTGATGTCGGCGTAAGGAGCCTTCCACCAGTGCTCTGGTCCTTGAACCGAATTTCGCCTGTCTTTTTCTGTGATTCGTAACCTCCACACACCCGTCGCAGCCGGAGGCATTCACGACAGCTTGGTCGGTCTTCGTCGCATTTAACACGTCGTTTGCGACATGTCGAGCAGCCCTTTGAGGGGCCATGATTGACCATGTCTGCTGCGCAATGATCGACAGGACTGATGTCGCTTCTGCTTGAGAGTCGCCACGCGGCCGGTTCTTTTTGCGATTCGTCGCATCCAGGGACTGAGTTATCGATACCGTCATGCGAAAATTAGATAGCGTTGCGAACGAAATATAGATCGTTGACTTTGAGTCCAGGTCTCCTCATCAGCCAGGCTTGTGTGCAGTGTCAGCAATGAGACTTGCGAAAGCCGTGGGGTGATTGGAACTAGAGAGTGGCAGAGCATTACAAGGCGACCAATCGCAAAGAAATTGCCTTATCCGTCCTAGTCGCCGCGTCATTCATAATAGCCTCATGGTTCCCGGGAGTGCGCAACTGGGGAAATACCAATCGCAAACAGGCTCGATGCATGGCTGGTACATAGTGTAGGTGTAAACTGGTTGTGCGTTGCTCTCGCTGAAAAGGATTGCGAGAAGAGGCAAATGAAGATAAAAGGCAGTGCATCGCCGACAATGTCATAGCATGATCAACACCGTCCCCAGTAACTCTATCCATTTTTTCTCTACTCTACACTTACTTCTGAGTGCCTTCCAAAATGAAGTCAACTTCCCTGTTCAGTGCTGTTCTCCTGGGGGCAACAGTAGCTTCTAGCGCAATTCTTTCCCGCGACTCTGGGCCATCGTTCTCGCCAAAGGAGCCAGAGGATCCCATCATCCTCTTGAGCAAGGATGAAAGCTTCCATTTCGAGCTGCTCTTCACCCTCGGAAATACCATGTTCGGGGCTGGCGACGTCAACGACGTCTTGGCCGCAGCGAAAGACGTCAAGGCCGGGAATTTCACCAGCTGGCTTGAGACCTTCCACGCGTTGGCTCAATCCACCAAAAAGCAAGCCGAGGATGCGGACAATGCGTATGATCCATTGAACGTCCGGGAAGCCTGGTTCGCTACATCGAGCTACTACCGTCAGGCCGACTTCTACAACCATGCGAACTGGACGGACCCACGTATCAATGGCTTCTGGCTCGAGCAACGCGCTGCGTTTGATAAGGCGCTTGCTACACTGCCCGTTCCTGGCGTACGTATCCAGATCCCGACAGACAACTTCACCATCGAAGCAATCTGGTACACATCTGCAGCCGACGGGGTCAAACGGCCAACCTTGATTATCGGCAACGGATACGATGCTAGCCAGGAAGACTCCTACCACTCGTTCGTTGTACCAGCCTTGGCCCGTGGCTGGAATGTTATGACCTACGAAGGGCCAGGGCAGCCCACTGTTCGCCGCAATGATGACATTGGTTTCATCCCTGATTGGGAGAAGGTTCTCACGCCAGTGATAGACGAGTTGATGAATCTCAAAGGCTGCTTCGTCGATGAAGACCGGCTGGTCCTTGTTGGCGTTTCAATGGGTGGGTATCTAGCCGCTCGTGCCGCCGCGTTTGAGCCTCGGATCAAGGCTCTTATTCTCAATGGTGGCGTGTGGGATGTCTACGAGGGATACGCCAGTCAGCTGACCCCGGACATGAAGGAACTCCTGGCTGCGGGCAAGCAAGAGGAATTTGACGAGGCTGCCTTGCCGCTCTTGGATAGCCCACAGGTGCCTACAACGATGCGCTGGGGTCTAGGACACGGATTGTGGTGCTTCAAACAGCATTCCCCGTATCTGTGGCTCGAATCGCTCAAGCAGTACACTCTTGATAACGTGGTTGAGAAGATCAACGTACCCGTCCTTGTCGTCGATTCCGAGTTCGAGGGGTTCTTCGCTGGCCAGCCGGAGCTTGTTAAGGACGCACTCGGCGATAATGCAACTTATAAGTTCTTTAATAGAACAGCTGGGTATCACGTCCAAGTTGGAGCTGGGCAGGAATGGAATAGATACCAGTTTGCCTGGCTCAATAAGACACTAGGGTAAGCAGGATTAACTTTTATACATTATAGCCTAGCCTAGAGGTTAATTGCTATGATGAATGGCTTTACATTACTATTGTTATCTACAAGGAAATTACTTTTGTATTTCATTTTAAAACCTTAGATAATATCATTAGAATTAACCATTTCTTGCCCGAAAAAACAGGCTCTTTATCTCTCCCTATCGAATGGAAAGAAAGCCAGCAGTTCCCGTATCTCAGTGCGGTAGTCAAGGAGACTTTCCGCCTCCATCCGCCTAGGGGCTTTCTTCTAGAATGGTTCGTCCCAGATGGAGGGCTTCAGTTACCAGACGGGCCTTTTCATCCATCTAGTACGATAGTTGGCGCCAATACATAGGTTTTACACCGTCATCCAGTATTTGGCGACGATTTGGAATCGCTCGATCCCGATAGGTGGCTCCAGAGATTCGACGAGTCTGAGGACGACTTCAACACCAGAAGGTCACGCATGATCAGTGCGTCTCTCACTTTCGGTGCTGGGCCACGGACCTGCATCGGCAAAAACCTCAGTTTGCTTGAGATTTACAAGAATATTTCAACTCTTCTACTCAAGTATTAGGTAGGGTTTTCAGGACTCGACACTAGGCTGCCCCATTACTGTGTGCGTATAATCGCTATTGATACTGAGTGGATTTAATTTGAGTTGGACAATAATGCAAAGCTCATCTTTTGCCAGGCAGTCGAACTTCACGGTCAAGTTAAGAAAGTCTTGCGGACAGGATAGTGCTTGAATCGATCCGATACAGCGGTGCTTCGTTGCAATCACTTCGTGGGGGCGTCTGGCTTAAGTTGGTGGTGAGATGAGCCCAACTAAGATCGCCTCAAGAGCCAAATCGATGCCCCAACCAAGGGAACAAGACAGCTTCCAACCTTGAGAGCAGTCTTCTTCCACGACGCTATCATGTCCTTCATTACCATGACCTGGAACTCTGCTGCTTCGTTGACCCTGGGATAAGGAACATCTGGAATGTCGTGACCAAGGAAAGGGCAAATTTTGTCCCATCCAAGTCCCTCCTCGAGCTTGATCACGAGTAGCTTATCCGCTGGAATAAGCTCCTTGACCATTCTGTTGCTGGGGGTAAGTCAGCAAGTTGCCCGGAAATAAACCCATCCATTCTCGTACTCACTGTCTCTCATAGACCTTGACGGCCTCGCGCTGAGCCTTCTGTTTGTCAGGCCCTAGATACCCACCATAGAGAACGTAGACGAAGCTGTAGGTCAATTTGCTAATGTAGTACGTATACGAGTCAAACAATCCGACCAGGCGAATCATAGGCGACAGCCAAAATTCGCCCAGTGGCTGGAAAGTCTTGGCCACGGACTTCCTCCACGCCTCAGGATCACGCTCCGTGAGGACAAACTTGGCGTCTGGGTAGGCTGCAACAAGGTCCTCAAGGAACCATGCGGGGATGTCGGTGATGGCATTGAAATCGCCCAAAAACTTGTCAAAGTCCTCACGGGTAAAAGGTTTGCCGATCCCTTGGGAGCTCGCCCGGACTGCGTCGTTCATCATGCGCACGTGGGGTACGCCATTCTTGAAGACTTCAAGCTGATGGTAGGGCTTGTAGCCGAGGATCTTGAGTGCGTAGTAGAATCCCAATGTGGCGTTTCTATTACGATCCCGTTAAGCCCCGTTATTTTGTAGCGATGGATCTTGTTGAACATGGAATTTTTTGCATTCAAAGATGGCACTCACCGACCAAAGCTCAACAAGATGACCTTCTTCGGTCGAGGGTTCGGGTGCACCGGCTGACAGTCGATGTATCGTGACATGATCTTGCAACGTCAACTACGCTGAGGTCGCTCCTTAGAAAATTTTGCCTGAGAGCTATCACAGTCAGGACACAAAGCGAAGGCAATCTGGAAGTCCTACACGAGGTTTTATCCGGGCTACTACTCACCTTAGTCTACGTAGTCCAGGTGCCGCTGACGCCAAGCGCGTCAGCAAATGCGGTGTTCACCGTCAGCATTAAGACATGCATAGCGATCCCAAAGCAATTTCCGAACCTATCGTGAAGTAGGAAGTCAGCTCGGGAACGGTATGCCCTAGGTCTGAGGCCTTTTTCCTCAGACTGCGAATGATTCAGAGACATCGGTGTCAAGGATTGGCTTACATTCCGAGGTAATAATCCTGGCATGGTTGTGTAATGGAGGGGCCCAGAATCCCACCACCACTTGCTGCAGACTGACGGCCATGGACAGGCTATTTGACTTTCCCCACAAGTACATCTAGTTCTCTATCATACGATCTGGCTACATAAGCATCTCTCCAGTGGGCAAAGCGGTCTCTAAAGCCTATGACCTGAGGATGAGCGAGAGGACAAGTGCTCGGAACAGGCCATGATCACACGAACCTTTCAGGATGAAAGCGAGGGCTCCTCTCAAGCTTTCCGTCGACCATGGATTGCGGTCGGTCTGTTCCCGTCTTTCGGAGATGGCTTAGTTTTCAAAGAGGGAAGTGGGCAACCTTGAGTGAGGAATTGGACCAAAGATGTCGACTTCGATGGTATAGGAGATAAATGGGAGTAACAATACATCACCGCTAACATTGAATGACTGGGAGAAATAGATAATTCCAGTCATTACACTTGTTCACATCTATAACCGTTCTCAATCCAGTACCAAGATCAAATTTGTGCTCCAAGTAGGTGTAACATACGCTCGCATAATTCCTTTGACTTACACGCCTCACAGTTCTTCAACAATGGATTCCAAAAACATCACAATCACCACGGCATCATACACAACGGGGCCTGAAGTCGATCAAGCCACGCAATCGCCGCCTCCCTGTGGGCTCAAAAGAAGCAATGCAATCCGCCACCGAGTCCACCCATGCCGGGACCCCGCCACTTCCGAGGCTTCGCTGAGACGATGGATGAAGAGAATTGACCATTAAATTGCCCAAAGCTAAGAGACATGTCGAGAAAACTTGGGCGAGTCGTCTTATATGCTTCCTGCTCTGAGATTACACAGCGTTTGTAAAGGCACGAGTCTCAATGAGTGGCACCAGCCCCCAGGTTCTGTCCCGTATCATAGTAGCCAAAGTGAGCCTCAGATTCAGTATTAAAGGATGCTCATCGCCGCCTGGACTTGTGAAGAAGGACAAGCAGGAATCATTACCACCAAAAATAGTGGTCGGAGGACAGTGCCACCAGCAATAGCGGTCGGAAGGCAGTCAACACCTAGGGCATGGGTGTGTGAGCTGGGATTCCAGTTCTCGACCTCATTCAACCGGCTTCTATACCCTGTTAAAGCAGATCAATCAGTCTCCAAGGTATTTTCTGGCACGAAAATTGCCAGAACAGAGAATAGAAATGAGTAGTAGAGTATGGTCATGACCATGGACCTGGAAAAGTGAATCTATGTTCACAAGTGCTGAGGGCATTCTACTGTGTCTTGGGCATCAACTCCGCTAAATGCAAAAGTCACAAGCGAGATGTAGCTCACATATTTTGATCATTGAGATAGAGATCTTAAAGAAATGGGGCAAGATGTATCATGTGAAGCGTGTGCCTCTGCGTCGATTGCCTGGGGCAGTAAATGTGATCGCGAAGTCAGTATAAATTAGTACACATCGCCCCCTTGATGTGAGAAAGGGCCAAGCAGCAATGGACACCACAGCCACCAGCAGTAGCTGTCTATGTTATGAAGAAAAGATGGCACATGCCCAAGGTACAGTGCGGCGAGTACTGTCGAGGCCTATCAATAACAAACATCATATCATACCATATCAGGCGTTTCTCACGCAGTATTCCGTCTAGAATAACGTCACAACAGGAAGCAAGATCAAGCGGTAGATTGTGTAATTAAAAGTACGATTTGTAAACAACTTCAGTGAACGACTACTCCAGCATATCCCTCTTTTCGTCCCTAAAGTCTCTGATTCCCGAAACTATAAGTAGAAGGAAGGAAACTCACTTCTTACCGACTTGAAATTGAATTTGTAGTGAATGTGGCGGCCAGCCACGGCCATGTCCCTCTGACTAGTAAAGGCTCAGAGGAGACATCCGCCAAGCCCATCTCTTGCTGGCTCATTTTATATAGGTAGACAGAGAAATAGACGCTTGGCAAATAAGATCATCTGATGATTTGAAGCTTGCTGCAGTGGTCACAGTGACCGGGGAGAGGACTATTTAAATGAGCCAATAGTTGCAACAAAGTCGGAGAGCAGCAGGGCATGGATCCACGAGGAAATCCAGGAGGACGGTGTTCCACACCGTAAAAAGGAGGTAGCTCATGCTCAAGGGCGACTGCGGCGATAGCTATGAAGGCAAACAAGTCCCAGGTTCCTATCGATATCCGAACTACTCTCTAAACAATGTCATGTTGTATCAGGCGGTTACCCAGCATTATTCCGCACGTAATACTATCGGAATAGAGGACGATGATAAACAGTACACTGAGCGGTTGTACTAGACATCGTCCATGGGTTTCATGGAGATTACTCACCCAGAAATCGCATCAATATTCAGTCGTACCTCTGTGCCCGATGTGAGCATATCCCGTTCTGGGTCGTGGGCGTGATACGGGTGTGTGGGATACAGCTTTCGTATCGACTAGCCATTACTGGAGTTATATAGTATGTGGCGACTTCCCCTGCCAAAGTATGTTCACGCAGAAGTGATGCCTACCGAGTCTTGTTGAAACTCTTCTCTCAGAGGGCAAGCAACTGACAGCGATCGGTCGACGCCCCCGCAGCCTAAAACACTCATGGATCTGTATCATTCATGTGTTCATTAAGGATCACACTAATACACGGCCTGCTTGTTCAAGAGACGGAACTTCTCAATCGATTCAAGGCAGGCAAGACAAAAAGCCAGACAACCGATCCAGCACAGGCTGCTGCTTCTCCTTGGACGCCGTCGTCTTGTCGTTGGAATCACCCACGCTCACGGATATGTAGCATCCCGCCGTACCGACAACCGTGTTCTCCTCGGGCAACCTCGCGTCGTCACCGCACGTGCTCACATCCGGACCGGACAGCAGCCCCGGGTTGATCCGGCTCAAGACCCACTTGAACTGGTCCGGGTCGTTGCACTCCGTGTCGCTGACCTTCGGGAAATTGACATTTAACCATGTCTTCTCCGGCAGGTACGGAGCGCCCCCGCTCACAATTTTATCAACCAGCCGCGTCGCGAGCTCGGCGTATACCGTGCTCCGCGCGGGCACAGGCTGTGTGTTCCACGCGAGAGTGCCATCCGAAGAGCCGGAGAAGGCGATGGCGGGAATGCCCTTCGTGCCTGAAGCATAGACAGCGGTACCGACAGTGCCCGAGAAAGGGACCTGGAGCCAGAGGTTGGAGCCGACGTTAGGGCCAGAGACGGCGAGTTCTACGGCGGCACCATTGAATTGCTCTGGAGCAAACTGCTCGATACCGTAGCGCATGGATGTTACCGGGTACGAGTTGACCCAGCGGAGGTCCTTACGGGTCTCATTGAAGCCGACCGGTCCGCTGTTGGCTGCGCAGCTGTTGTACTGGCAAGCGCTAGTGCGCGGGCTCGGCTCAACGTCGAGGGAACCTGTGATGGATTTAGTGTTAGTGGACGTCGCGTTTGTGAATGAACCTTCGGATGAGTTTGATTATACATACTGGAGCCGGACTTGTTCTCGGCAGGTGCCGAGAGAAGAACGTCATGGCCGGAGGCTTTCAGCGCATCGTTGAAAGAGCGAACGTAGAGCTCTGCCCACCCGTCGTCGTTGGACTGGACGACCCGCACGCCCTGGACGGCGAGAGCCTGTGCAAGCAACACAAATGCGGTGTCAGCGCGCATCGTGATGTGAAATTGGTACACGGAGTAGCTCGTAGTCCTTGTCCGGGGGTGAGAAGGAGGTGCGGAGTGGATTGGAGAGCGAACGGCTTGCGGCGAGATGCGTGAGGATGCGGAATCAAAAGACCATGTTTCTAATGATGGGTGTGGCAGTCGTCAACCTTAAGTAAAGAGGCAAATCAAGACTTCGTTGCCCAAGGCTCACCCCTGGGCCGCTCAGGAACATCTTGTGCGAACCACGTCTGACACGTGCCACTGGATCGCAGACAAAGAGGGGGAGGGAGGCCTTTCAGGCTTCAGCTTTCCGTCTACCCCGGTTGCGATGTGAAGCTGGCCGATGGGAGCTGCAGGCGGCGAGGTGATCATCGACCGCAATATCACCCTAACCCCCGCACACCAATGGCTGTCAAATGCGCCGATGCGCCCCTGAATCAGTGAAACCTGCCCCAAAGAGGCAAAGGGCCAACCGAGACAGCCGAAGCTTGTTTACCATCGCCCCAGTATAGCAGCAGCTCGTCAATCGCCCCTCCTTGTTGTAGGCCCATTCAGCCAGCCAGGAAGCGAGAAGACCTGTCGAAGTGCTTAAGCTCGAACACGTGGGCCTCTTGGCCGTTGGATCTTGACATTGCGCCGGCGACCGGTGCCGCAAAAGGGAGGCAGTGCCGATGGAAAATGCGACGCTAAACGGGAAGACTAGGACAAGGGTTCGTTAGTCACTTTTCCTCTACTGTAAAGAAGCTTGCCTCGTCGTGCAGGGGCACATGTTCATCGCTTCAACGTGCAGTCGAATTAACCCCGCCATTGAGGCACCTCGGTCGATTACTTCAATGCAGTCCTTGCTTGTATTTGATGTTCGTGGGGAGGTGCGGAAAGTCTAATTATTCCTAGATTTGGTTGCGAATTTCGTGCATCAAATGGGTATGTGACCGTCGCTTGGAAACTGATTTCGTCCGAGGGTCGGATATCGACCGATACTTCCGAGATGATATTGCCATAGGTCTTCGATATGGTTCTATTTTGTGGATGTTTGACAATGCGTCATGAACCGGGAATCTCTTTTCTTCGGGACCTCAGGTTTCCTCAGAATAGTAGTACTAGAGCGCAGCCGCAAAGAAAGATTGGCAACTTTTAGAAACCGCGGCACCCCCAAATAGCCAGCTCTCAGCTCGACAATCGGCCTGTGCTCGTCAGCTGGTCGATCGGGGCGAAGCCACAGCGAAGCCACTCCCCGTCTCGTCTCATCTTCCTCGGAGTGACGTAAAACTAGTACCTCACCGAAGAGATGCTCGGCCAGAGCGAGGCTGTTTCCTGTATTGGTATCTGCGTGTGGTGAGCCAGAGCTTGTAAACTCCAAGATCAAGTAAGACACAGGCAGAAAGTGTAGGAATCTGAGTTTTGCACTCCAACAATGTTCAATGTTCGCAACGATGCGGCAGATTCCCCGAATCGAGGGTGGACCACTGTATGCCATCATATTTCGAAGTGGTGCAAGGCGGTCAAAATATCCCATGGATTGCTAGAAGTTTGTGCCGCAATTATATGCACTACAATACATGTTCTTGCTACAAGAAGGACACTGAGACTCTGTCTGCTATCACGCCAGGAAAGTCGCAGGCACCTCCGGACCTGTACCACATCTGTTAGCATAGGTTATATCTCTCGGGTACGGTTCTAACTCACCCCAGATGTGTAGATTATCCGGCGCTGCGGGAGTGTGGTGCGTCTTCTCCGTGTCGTCGAGCAGGTCCCCATCAACGTAGTGCTCCATGATGAAACCGGAGGGGTCGAACCTGTTCTCCTGTCAGCTTTCCATGCCGTTTTCCACCTATCAGATAGCCACCGGGGTTCCCATCGCTAACTCACCAATAATCAAAGATCTGGCTTCCCATTATATGGCGGCCTACGCCCCAACAAAGCTTGTGACCCTGCTCTCTCAGCCAGTCGTGGCCCAGCACCTGGGTGTCAAAGTCGTGCGTTTCGAACGAGGAATGGTGGACGTGGAACTTGGGGCCCTCAAGGAAGAAGAAGCAGTGGTGGTCGACAAATTCCTTGCCACGTGCTAGGCGGAAAAACACGGTAACGCTCTTGTCCTTATTGTCAGGGGCGTGGACGAGCTGCACATCGTATATGTCAGGATGGCTGCAATCTGGCTTGGCACGGCTGAAAATCTCACCTCGCTTGGGTACAGGTTAAAGTTGCTAGTGTAAAACTCGTATGCCTTGTCAAAGTTGGTCAGACACACACCAAAGTGGCCCAGCTTGTGAACCGGTGCTGGGCGCTTGGTGAAACGCTGCTTCTTGTTGACATCGCGATGCTTCTCTTCCGGCTGTTTTCTGATCAGCATGAGCTCCCTGAATGTCCTCATATGTTATGCTCACGAAGTTGAACTTGAGATTCGGAAATCCTGGATCCCTCTTCTCAATTGGCGTCTGGTTGTACACCAGATGCAGTGGCCAGCCGTCGACGGGATCTTTGAACGTCACACATTTACCGCCGCCCGGCACGTCTTTGAGATCATGGATTTCTGTTGCGCTTGGCAATGTCTTGGACGCGTACTCAAGGTCTTCCAGAGACTCCACAACGAAGGCCGGACCTCCGAACTCGTCCTCCTCCGCCTCTTCGGCGCATAACACGAAGGGCTCGGTACCATAGCCTCGATAGAATGTCTTGTTCCCTTTGCGCTCGAGTTCGTAAAAGCCAAAGTCGTCGTAAAATTTACGAGCTTCTTCAATGTTCTTGTGCTTGTAGAAGACGTGCGCCAGGCGGACGAGCTGGATCTTCCGGTCGGGCATGGTGGGCGTAGCTTGTCGGTGCTGTGACTGCGAAGACCTGTAGAGAAAGGTTGGCTGTTGGCACGAAGCTTTGGCGTCGGGTGTCGCTTGTAAAGCAAGCAGGGACAAAGCCGCCTTATATTTAGACTTGGAGCTGACATCTCACCGGCGGAAATGCCGTTGGATGGGTGATTTGGCCATGTTTGTTCCCCCGCACTACCCCACTACAGTCCATCGGACGTCACGCACACTCGGTACTTGCGCTGGAGGCGTCAGAGTCCGGCGTAAAAGGAGTTGTGGTGGCTGCAAGTCCCCTATTCTTGGGCGCTGTTATGGTGTAATTTCAGATGGCGCGGTGCCGAAACTCAGACGGCGGTTCGGGGGTCGAGGCGTTTGGAGAAAGTCCTGGCTTGCACTAGGATGTTTCTCAAGATAATCCCGACAGGCCCGGCGTGCCAAGGCTGGAGCTGCCTATCATCTTCTTAGTATCACCATACATCGACTGAGAAATAAAACAAAACATCCTTTTCCTTCAATTCAAGTGCCGAATGAGCCTACCGGATGAGTCGTCACGTATCAGAGCTCCCTCGGCACACGGTGAAGGATGGGCGAAACACACTTTCTGACGGATGGCCATAGCTCTCGGGGCCAAAAAGTAGTCCCGAACGGATACAATCGACACATAATCAGGTTCCTATACTTTGCCGGGACTTAGCCACTCACTGAACAAGCTAATAATTGCTGGCTCGATCTGATCGTTCTCTTCCTATCATGAGGACGTGGGGTACTGCCATCGCGGGGTGCATCGTCGGCATGTTGCCGGCGGGGTACAGAAACCCGCAAGTCCGTAAATCCGCGGGATGCTGCGTCAAGTTTCGTTGGACCAAACAGGGGCGGCTGCCGGGAGTTGTGTTGACCGAACCTGCGTCGCCGGCCGCCAATGTTGCAGGATGATGCCCGGCCGGCCCCGTCAAGATCGGTTCAAGACATTTGGGAGTGGGCCAGCCGGCCGGACGAATCGCCATTATTCGAAGCTGTCGGAGCCGAAGGTCAAGCCGGCCCTCTTCCGAAAAAGGATACTAAGCTCCGACGCCAGTTAGCATAGGAGAGGAGACATGGGTCCCTTTGGAGCGTTACCTCTTCACCGCCCTATTGAGTGTATCACAACCCTCTCCAAACGAAGCCCCAATCCACCACACAACGCAAGTCCCATCCTTGGGCTCATGGAAGCGCCCTTTCCAGCATCCCCGCTTGAAAGCGGATTCCTCATCTGGCGTTGTGGCAGAGTGGTCTAATGCGCAAGACTAGAAATCTTGTTCCTTCGGGAGCGTCTGTTCGAATCAGGCCAACGTCGAGACATGCTTTTTGCCCGCTAGGACGGAGGACGTGTTCTCACCGAACGCTCGTGTTTTGCTTACTGAGTGATGTAGATACACACCGTGGGCACGGGGGACGTCGATAGCAGATGACGCGATAGAATGTAATTTCGAGATGCTTCTAAACGACCGATTGCTAACCATTGTTGCGGGCAATAAGAAGGAGGAAGACAGGCGAGAACGAATTGTTGATGGATGGGATTTGGAATCTCCATGATTCTTTCCTCCCAGTTCACCATTCCAATTTTTTCGCACCTTCCCAAAGGAAATGCCATAATGCCGCCTCAAGTACGTACATTGAGTGAGCGGGTCCTGTGTGGATGAGCAGGCATCCGCCACAAAAGCACGAGCCAGGTAGGTACGTACTCCTTCTTCGCTCCATGGACGGCCAGGACGTTCTGACGAAACCTATCGCGAGCAGTCGCACGCGAAGGCACTTTGCCCCTCATTGCACTTTGAAGCTTGTCCGCCGCTTCCTTTGAACCCGCAACAATTTCTTACGCCTCCTGCTCTTCGTCTTTCTGAATGCTCCATACCTGCTACAGAACTCACCGATCGCCCCTTCCCCACTGCCCTGATGCCGAAGAAACTCTCGAAGAATCCCCAAGGAGGGAGCACCACAAACCTTGGGACGCCCTCGACCTCGACAACGAATTCCACCTCCCTCTCCCTTCCTCGAATCCTGACCGACGAGCTCCCCCTTCCGAAGCTCATTGTTTTCGACCTCGATTACACCCTCTGGCCCTTTTGGGTCGATACACACGTCTCCGGCCCGCTTAAAGCCAATGCGACACATTCGGCAGTCACAGACCGTCACGGCGAGTCCTTTGCCTTCTACCAGGACGTGCCGCGAATACTCTACACTCTGCCACTGGCAGGCATCAAAATCGCAGTCGCGTCACGGACATCGGCACCCGATCTTGCCCGGGATATGCTGAAGCTTCTACACGTTCCGCCGCCGAGTGCCGAGGAAGGAGGGAGTGGCAAGAAGGAGAAGACAAAGCGGGCGCTCGAGTACTTCGACGCACCGTTGGAAATATATCCTAGTAGCAAGATAAAACATTTCGAGACCATTTTCAAGAAGACAGGTATCCCATTTACGGATATGCTGTTCTTTGACGATGAGAGTCGAAATCGGGAGACGGAGAGCTTGGGCGTCACCATGCAGCTCGTGAGGGATGGTGTGACGTGGAACGAGATCGAGAAGGGTGTGGCGGAGTGGCGCAAGAGAAGGGGATACTCGGGATAGATGTTCCTTGTACGACTGGAAGGCGGGCCGTTTTGCACAAAAAGGCGTTCGGTGGGTTGGGTGATAAACTTTTGTTCCTGTTGAACTTGCACACGGACAGGATAGATCCGATAGATTGGATGGGGAGACGGGATGACCCAAACCTAGATCAACCTTCTGTGCGTTTTTCCTAGGGTCGTTGGGTAGATGGGACGGTACAAAGTCGTGATACCAAATGCTTCGTTATTAAATAGATGTCCGAAATGAATCGATGAAGATGTAACTCCAGCCAATGTTGCCACGCCCTGCCAGACCTACTCCATCACCATCGGGGTATTAGATCAGACCATATCCAGATCACCAAGCAGATCGACCCTGCCAACCAAATATGCAAACCCCTGTCTCGAAGACTCATGCCCGTTTACCACTAGTCTATGCCAGTCCCGATGGGGGCGTCGACGTGCTGCCCTCAACGTGTTTCTCCGCGACCTGCTTATCGTCTGCAATGGAAAGCTTCTGTATGCCAGCCTCTGGCGCATCGGCGGCCTTGACAGGCGCTTCGGTCTCCGTCTTGGCGGCAGCCTCTTCCGTCACGCTCCCTTCCTTAGTCGCAGGTGTTGCAATCGGTGTCGGCTCAGCAGCAGGTACCTCAGCCTTGGGCGGCCACGTCTTGGGTACGGAGCAGATCACCTCGTTTTGCTCGACGCCCTTGACGCTGCCGATACCAATGCACTCAACACGGGCACCATCTTCGGTCTCGCGCCAGATGGCAGGGCGTGACGTGAAGCGGTCGTGACCGGGCGCCCACTCCACGGTTCCCTCCCATGCGGAGTCGACGGTTGGCTGGTCGCCAAACTTGAACTCGAGCTCGCCTCCGTACTGCTTCGGGATGTTGCGGGGTTCGATGAACTGCTCCAGCGTCGGGCGGACCTCGTGGGGGCTGAGGATGAAGATCTTGGAGACTGTGATCGGATCGAACCAACGCTTGATCCAGGCCCAGACTGTGGAGAAAAATGCAGGCGCACCGATGATAAAGATACCTGGTAATGATCTATCAGTACAGTCAAATGACGGCGATAGATGTCTGCTTACGATCGAGAGTCTCTGGGTAATGCGCCGTTGCGAGCTGACTAGCAGCCTGCATATGTCCCTTCAAATTCCAAAACTGCTTCAAACTAACTCCAGAGATATCAACGATGTTGGTGCTCAGGGTGATGGGAGCATCGCGGTGCTCGCGGTCCCTAAGCTGCGTCGACAGCGGCTGCGTGAAGCGGGTGAGGTTCTCGTACAGCGCAAATAGGCGCATCATGCCCGCGGGCGTCTTGCCATCGAACTTGGCCTTGCTAAAGGTCGATTCCTTGCCCAGCTTCTCATAAGTAGCGACCGTCTTGCTGTCAAGCTTCTGGACCTCAAAGAGGTAAATGGGAATGCCGCGACGGTCGCGGCGGCCAAGCCATTGCGGGTACAGGCGACGGGACTGCTCAAAGGCGTCGAGCTCGATGGTCTGGTAGAGGACGTCAATGTCGTTGGCGGCGCGCCAGGCTTCCGTGTCCTTGAACTGCGTGAGAGCATCTTCGGGGACCCATCTTCGTGCGCGAAGGTATCGGCTGCAAGATAAGGCGGGAAAAAGTCAGCAAAAATGCCCTTCTTGTCTGCTTCCGGATGTTCCGGCGCAGTAGGTGACTGCGGCAGAAAAAGAGGATCTTGCTGAATAACTCACAGCAGAGTAGGGTCGTCGTGGGAAGCTGGCGGGCCTCGCTTGTACAGCCCCTTCTCCTCAAGTAACGTTCTGAAGGCAGCGAGCTGCGTCTCCTCGTGCTCGTTGAGGTGACCCAAGTGTCCATGAGGATACCCAACATCAGACACCGTCGAGGCGTGGGACTTGACCCTGGCCGCGGGGTCAGAAGCTGCGGTATCGGTCGTCATTGTATGTGTTTCGTACTGTATGATCGGGTGTCCGTTTGGCAGACAGAACAAGTGATGTGTTACAAAGAACGCAGTCCTCGTTGCATTCGCACTTTTTTGATTTGAAGAACTTCTACTCGTCAGCGTAACGGTGCGAGGTCGCTCGGAGGAAGGGTCTAAAGCGTCAGCCCGGCATGACGGGCGGACAGCGGCATGGGGCGGGCACGCGGGACCCATCCATAACCCATCTGGATCCAGTGTGCCAATCCATTTCTCTTTGATGTGGTAATCGACCTGGGAGTGACCGGGAGAATCTGGTGTGCGGCGTGCCTGGTGCATTGCAGCGCTCTCAACCAACCCCTGTGACCAATCCTTGTCACCTGTCAGCTTACCTTATCATCCGCCGCCTCCGGCTCCGTCAACCCGACGAACCCGGACGCCGGACGGACTTTTTTACCTGTACGTACAGGATGCCTTACGTCATACGGTAAAAGCGTTCCACCTCGTACTTTTTGCATCTTCTGACCCTTCAGAATACCATCATTTGGACAATGGGACTAAACAACAGGCCTTGATTCCGCCGTCGTCTACCTACATTAATATGAAAGTACTGCAAAGGTCACTCAACAATTTCTCTCTCGCTGCCTTGCATCATGCAGGCGCCCCATCGGGCTGCTAGCCTAGGTTCTTAGTGCTCATCGCGCCGCCGCACCGCATCCTTTGGCGTGTCGCCAACCAATGAGACGAAAGTGACAGGCCAAGGCCTGCGAGTCATGGTGGAGACGGAACTTCAAACAAATGACGGCTTTGAAGGAACCAAACATCCGTTGCGTTCACCAAGAGGTACTTAGCAAACAACGATGTTGCTGTGTGAGAATCAGCTTGGTCTTTGTTCACTCACTGCTCTCTGGTTTCTCGCGAACGACCTGGTCCCAGGTGTGACTTCTGGGGCAACTTTATGCGTCTGGAGGCTTGATCCTGCGATTCAAATTGCTATTGTCTCCGTTCGTCCAATTAGACAGGTGTATGATGAATCCACTTCGCCTAATCTGGCAACCTCCTGAGATCAAGTCTCGGGTTGACTCAGCGGCTTCCCGACGATACGCGGATAGCATTTTGAGCGTCTTGCAGGCAGCTAGCTGTGTGTTGTGTCTCGGTCCTTTCCGAGATAACACGGCTTCACGTTCCCCTGCTCTTATTTCATGATTTCTTCTTCTCTCGGTGATCATTCAACAGCTCCTGAGCCATTTTGTTTGCCGTTCTTATGCCAGATGGGTGCCAATGGTGACAGCCAGGAGCAAACAATTTTCGGGACTTGACCTTCATAAAATGGGTATGTGTACAACGAGCCAATGAACGACTGCCTACCATCACGGTCTCTGGATCTCCCCAGTCCCATTCTTGAATGCCTATACGAGCTCATACATGATTCCAGTGCAGTGTGCCGCTGCATTCATGGCGACATGAACCCGATGAGTAGCGCTATTTGCCATCGTGAGTTGGGTCAAGAGCCTGCCGTCTTGTTATTACGGGAAGCCTAGGCGATGATTCATGGAGCATCTTCTTGATAGTCATTAACTTTCATTCTCTAGTGATGATGTAGTCGCCCTCGAAGCATTCTCAACAGCTGCCAGATGCCTATACTAGGAGCAGAAACGTTTCTAAGTTTAGGTCTTCGACAAGTGAAGCTCATGTCAAGCAGTCTCAAACGCCTCCATTCTGCAATCTTATCATTGCCCATCCTCCCAGCTGCATATCATCTGTTGTCATATTGATCACTTCCAGCACCAAGGCTTTCCTTAGATGCCCATCTGTCGCGATGATTTCAACCGTCCGTAGCCTCTTCACCCTTCACCTGGTCCTCAGTTAGATAATCACCGAGGCCCTTGCTCGTACGCGCCCTCTATTCAGCGCGAGCCCTGTTCATGTCTCTTACTGCTGAGATAGCCGACCTCTATTGCATGTCTTGATGCTCACGTTGTGGTATGTGGCCCTGCAACACCATTTCAGCTTAGCTTGCTATAAGGTTCTAGTGTCCGAGTTCTTCTTGGCACCTAGGCCATGTAAGTAATGTCGTAGTCATCCGATGCCATTTGAGGGAAATTGTTCGAACAACCTGCGTGCGTCACGCAATGTCTGCGTCTGAAACTAATTCATTTTACAGAGGTCGAAGATCCATCTTTGTGACTGCATGCCTTCGTCCCAACTGCATTTGCCCGCTGCGCATCTTGCGAGAGAGTGAAGAGACCACCATCGGAGATGGTAGCCGTTGTCGACGCAAAAGTCGTGTACGTTGACCTTGTTGATATCGGGAGGGTAGTGATTATTCTCTAGCTGTAGACACTCTTGCCAGCATTCGGGCAGCTCGTGAAGGGGAAGTGGTACCCTTGGGAGACTATCTGGGTCTTTGGGGCCTCCGTCGGCGGCAATCAGAGGCAGCACGGCAAGAAGGATTGTTGTGAACTTCATTTTGTTTGTTGCTTGAATGCTAGCTTTTATGCAGTGGAGTAGGATGGTCGATGTGGTGTTGAGATGTGGGCTTGATGAGTTGCTGTTGTCTCGCAGACGAAGGTGTTGTGTAAGTGTGTGTGTGTGTGTGTGTGTGTGTGTGTGTGGTTGACTGGCGGATTTCAAAGCCAGCATTATGAGAAGAAGCTGGCAATTTATACCTCTCGAGAACCTCTCTGAACTTGCCCGAGCCCTGAAGGCATGCCCGCAACTCTGAGTTTGCTTGGAGTACCGACTTGTACTTGAACTTTGATCACCTCCAACCCTGAGAGGTAAGACCTCAGGGGTCAACACGGATGAACTTTCACAACTCAGATCAATTGGATAACTGAGTAAAACGAGGGGCGGAGTGGTAGGAGGGTTACTCTATTTACTCCGGTACCTCAATTGGCTGCAGAGCTAGTCATGAAGGCAAAAACTCGAGAGGCGTTGGATACAGTGCAACATATTGTAGGATTATGGGTACCTCTATCATACCTTAGGTGATGATGAAGTGGACTTAAGGGCACCTCCAGCGACATATTCCCCTTTTGACACATCTTCAGGAAGGAGGAGAACCGAATGGACGTGATTAAACTCTAGCAGTTACGTACTCAGTGGCTCTTCCATATCAGTATATTCAAAATTCAAGTGCGCGGTGTCCAACTCTCCGTCGATAAGATGATGGGTACATACTAACTGCTACTCTCATCCTCTGATCTAGGATGATTCTCGCTGAGCTGGTCCTCTGCAGCACGAGTGCTTTCCACACTAGGTGACGAGGCCGAAAAAGTCCTGAACATTCTATCGAGATCTTGAATAGCATTGGACATTGACTCCTTATCAACCCACTCTCTGAATGTGGGCGACGGTAGGATCACTAGATCCCGGAAGTGCTTCAGTGCAATTTGGTTCGATAGAGCTACTCGGAGTGGTAGCAGGGATGGGTCCGGCTCTTTAAATATGAGCTCAAGCTCACGCCTGCCATCTGTGGCGTCTTCAATAAGACTAGTGGTACTCATATCATCGTGCTCCTCCGCACGAGGATAGTCGATGATGCAGTTGATCTGAACAGTTCCGACGCTGAGCACAAAGGATCTGAGAGTGGATCTTGGCCAGCGTAGGCAGCCACGCGACTCTAGGTATTCCATATAACCAAAGACCTTATTTGTGAAGGCGCCGGGTTCCTCAAAGTATTGAAAATTTCGGTATAACTTGCGGAGGAAAAACTGTATCGGTGTCCGCATACCCTCCCAGGTCCAAACACTCATCGGGTCGACGCCATGACGCAGGAGCAGATCCACTTTGGCCTCGAAAAGAGCCGGAATTTCCTCGTTCAGGGCATTGTGCCAGGCATGCCCAGCAAGCTGCGGTGTGAGTTCGCAGGTGACAGTTGCTCCACACCCGAATAGGAAGTCCATCAGTTCGATAGAGTGCCCGTCTGCAGTTGCAGCCTCGGCGAGGGCCATGTCAAGCTCTCTGGCGTATTTCGGATGTCGAAGCATCGGTTCCTTCTTCTCATCCTCGTGTTCATCTCTCAAATAATGGGCCTCCGATATCTTCAATCCATACTGATCTGAATCCCGACCAAAATGGGATCTGAGTTTCTCTAAGATAGTCTTCATCACCTTCTTCTTATAGATCCAGAACTCTTCCTCGGATGTGTAAGGCTCAAAATCCTTATACCAGAACGTCATGTGATAGCGGCTTCTCGCTGCAAGTGCAAGAGACCCGAGTCCCGTTGCATCATGGACTTGAAGCCAGTCCCTGGTCTCACGATGCTCTGAGCGATTTGCAACGTCGATACTAAAGACAGGTTCAGCTCCATTACCGAAAAGGACGTCGGCAGCCTTGAGGTGACCTCCCAGAAGGGCGTCGTGGAGGCAGCTATCTAGGTAGTGTTGAGGTGCAACACAATCTGGCCTGATCTGGCTTTTCAAAACCCGCAGAATGATATCGCTTTGGTCGTTCCGCACCAGTCGCAGGAGAACAGCGTGGTCCCGAACAGCTTTGCGGTACAAGAGCGGTGCGATATATACGGCAAGGCCGCGACAGGTGAGTCGTAAATGGCGTAGGCATGAGAAACTGAGGTCTGAACAAGCTGCGATTTGCAAGATAGTCTCGGGGGGTAGAGATTGAAGGCAGGTCATCCTGACTCGAGAAAATCTGTTCAGTGTGTTATGCAGAAAACTGAACAATTGACTTGGTACGGAACAAGCTTTTCGCCCTCATGAGCGGCCATCATCTTAGAATCAGAGGTGGGCAGCTTTATCTATTTGAGATGTTCAAACCAGACGCGGTACCCGGGAATGATCAAGCCTTCGATTTTGACTGTGTTCACAACAAACAAAGAAGCTATTCACAGCGAAGCTCACCACAACCTGAATAGCTTCTTTGTCCGCCCAGGCCGGACGGGCAACGGTGCGTTGCCGTTTTTTCCCCCAAAGCGGGGCCGCTTCCTTTGCCTCAACCACCAGGAGACACCGCGACGTACGTGGCGAGGCCGTTCATCCTGATGCTGTCGATCAATTTGCAAGCTTGGTATGACTTTGATCCCAGCCGAGTAGAATTTCTGCAACGTTCGTCTTCTTTTTTAAACGTGTTTTACCTCAGCGATTCGTAGGCGAAATGCTCCTGGCATCGACTTCCAACAAAGAGGAACTACAACACTTGCAAACATGTGCGCGTGGAAACAAAACCTAAATTCCTGCGCTGATCCTGCGAAAACACCGAAGTCATCATAGGCAGGAGCTCAAGAGACCGCTGACAATCGCCTATCGGAGGTTGCTTGTCAAACGACAGATCTGAACGCGTTGCTTCTACCATGTATGGCATCGCTCATCCCCTCCAAGTGCACGTGTCCTGAATGGCTTCCGCCTCAAGTATGCCCTGGTGTTCCGCACTCCATCCCGTGGCCATCTCCCCTTGCCCTTTAGATAATCCTCCATGTAGCGGATCCCACTGCACTAAAACGATCCTCAAGCTTTCCCAAGCCGATCAAGATATCCCTTTCCACCAATGCCCTATTTTGTTCTTCAAAGTCGGCATTCTGTCTGGACTTGGTAGTTGTCTGAAAACTGGACGAAGACTTGTGGTCAGTGGTCAGGCTGGGGCACAGAGGGATTGAATTGAGACATACCTTTCGGTGACCAATCAATATGCGACACGGCAACGTATCTTCGTGCCTCTGTTGAACCTTTGCGCGTCGTCCAAGTAGGAGCTTCGACACAGCCACAAGCGCGGCCAGACTTCGAGTCAAGAAGCTGAAGCACAGGTCAGTAATTCCAAACCATACCATGAGCAGACCTCCAAATACTGGTTGGCTCGCAAAGCGATGAGACCGTCGTCACCTGTGCCGGAACATCAGTACATTTCCATCATTGGATATCGATCAAGATGTGACGTACTTGATCCTGGTTCAAGTACCGGTGTCTATGGCGTTGATTGGTGGTGGCTTGCAACGTCCCGTTACAACGCTCGACTGCAACTCTGAGCTCGCAGCCTGCAAGCTCCAAGTGACTGAATTAGCAAGACGCTAGCGCTGCGTGATCTGTTGTTCTGGTACCTGTGCTGATCAGCAGCTGCAACGTTAGATCGTGACGAGAGTACATGCCTTTGGGTGAGCACGGGTAGGCCACATCTTTCTACCGCCCTAGCATTCACGCCCCGGGTATGTGAAAAAGACAAACAGATCGCCCAGTTGTGTGCGATTGATCCATCTGCTGAGAAGAATGGTTGAGCATTCAAGTGCCCATTGAAGGAATGTTCTGTGAAGAACGCTTCTCTGCTCGGCGCCAACCGGACCCCTTCCCGTTTGTCGATAGGCGTCTCTGATGTGAAGGTTCCAAGTGACGAGGTCGCATCAAGAAGAAAGGTGGACAATGATGAATGACTGACGATTTGCCGCCTGGTGGCCGGGGGATGTCCGCCGCAGGCCCCGAAGACAGCCGCCAAGAGTCAGCCAATGAAGCCGACTCCAAAAGTGCCGATGCAAAGCCGAGAGAAGAGTGCCAAACAGCTGGATGAGCGAGTTGTGTATCACCCTTGCTGATCCAAGAATGAAATGAGAGAGATGCCTGGCTGTTTTGAATAGAGATCGGCGGGTGGTCAAGTGTGGTGCTTCTGCTTCCTCAAAAGCAAGTTGAAAGATAGAAGATTGCTTGAAGGGTTTGAATATGCGAGGAGTGCCAAGCTGCTGTGACATTGAAAGTGAGATGTTTCAGAGGGGCCGTTGTCATGTGATTTGAGGAGTTTCTGCTGCCCAAGACACATGGGGAGAGTGCAAAAGAAGAGAAAGTGTGATCTGTTGGGTTCCTGTGGCCGGAGGAACGGGGAGTGAAGAATGAGATGTGTTGAGCCATATGTCTGCTTCTGCTGTCTCAGAAGAAGAATAGGAAGCAAGGAAAAGAGAGAAGTCCAAACAAGATGATTGATGTGTTGGGTGCCGAGCTCAAGTTGCCAAGAGAGTGAAGTGAGGAGAGAACATTTCTGCTGCCCCAGAAATGCCGAGTGGAAGTGTGAAGTACCGGAAATGGAGAAAGTGCCGTGTGAAGTACTGGTTTCCTCGCGTTAGAGGAAAGTGAAGTGAAGTTCAAAGTTGTTGAATAAGGCGACATGCCAAGTTTCTGCTGCCCCAGAAACGTGAGGTGAAGGCAAGAAAGTGCCAAAGAAGTTGAAGGATATGTTTGTGCCAAGCTTCCGATAACCAGGAACATGAAGTGAAGGCCGAACCGGTCCAAATTGCCGAATCGGAGTGAAGTGCCCAGTTTCTGCTGCCCCAGAAACGTGAAGAGTAGCCAGGAATGGCCAGAGAAAAAGATGTGTGAAGCGTTGATTCCTCCCGCCAGAGGAAAGTGAAATGAAATTCAGAGATGTTGAATAAAGTGAGTTGTCGGGTTTCTGCTGCCCCAGAAACGCGAAGTGAAGATAAGGTTTGTCGAAAGAGTTGAAGAAAGGTAATGAGTTGTCAAATTCCTCTGCCAAAGGAAACTGAATTGAGTGAAATGACGTGATGACCCAGAATGGAGTGTTGCATCAAAATGGAGTGACGCGTTTCTGCTGCCCCAGAAACGAGATGAGAGAAGAAGGTTGAGTTCACGAGTGCCAAGTCGCGAGCTGAGAGTGCGGGTGAGAGAAAAGGAAACCGAAGTGAAGGGAATGAAGTGATGACCCGAAATGGAGTGGTGCGTCAAAATGGAGTGACGCGTTTCTGCTGCCCCAGAAACGAGATGAAAGAAGAAGGCTGAGTTCGCGAGTGCCAAGTCGCAAGCCGAGAGTGTGGATGAGAGAAGTGTGTCGTGTTCCTGCTGCTTCAGGAACACTGTGCCAAGACCAGAGTCAAAGAAGATGAAATAGTTGGTTGAAAGTGAAATGCCGAGTATCTGTGGCCCAAGAATCATGAAGTGAACAGAGAGCCAAGAGCTTGAAGTCAAAAGTGTGAGAACTGCCGAAATAGTTTGCCGAGTTTCTGCTGCCCCAGAAACGAGAATGTTCGGGTAAGAGACGTGATGTGTGAGTGTTACGTCTCAAGATTGTTACGTCTTAAGGATGTTGGAGGGTCAACCAAAGGTCATCGATTGTTAAGAATGGGATGAGGACAAATGGTGGAGTTGCTGCTGCTTGGAAAGCATGTGGAGAGATGGTTCGAGTGCATGGAGAACCAAACATGACCAGAGATGGATCAAAGTGAGTCGTGGATGAGGAAGAAACCATCCATGTGCCGATCTGAAGCGGAGTCCAGAGATGTTGATAATGGAGAAGCGAAGGTGCTATCCATGTTGATTGACTGATGTGTCAGTCAGCTGATGTGCCGTTGAACTGATGTGTTGTTCAAGCGATGTGTCGCTCAACTGATGTCTCGATCGACTGATGAATCATCCGATGTCCGTGATTGTGTCGGAAATGAGTTGTGTCAAGAGTCTGTGGAGACAGTGTTGAAAGAGAATGTTGTTGAGTGAAGAGTGGTGGTCGAACCTCAAGGCAAGGTGTGGATGATTGCCGAGGTTGGTTACCGAGGTGATGAGCCTCTGTTGATTGCAGTCTCGCAGGTAGCTGTGCAAACTTCCTGTGCCAAAGCCACATTGCAGATGGTATGATAGATGTGCAATGGGTCCGGAGTGATGAGATGAGTGTAGAGTGTTGAGACTGCAAGGAACCCTGGGGTGAACAATGCCTGGCGTGTCTTTGATGGTAGGCAAGAGTTCGAAGTCACAATGTGTGTTTGTTGAAGTTGAGAGTGAGAGTGAGTGTGAGTGTGAGTGTGTGACTTGTCGAGAGTTTGAGAGACCCAGGGGTGGCAGGTTGTGTTCCAATGACAGAACAGTGACCCGCCGTCGCGTTGGCTTCGTCGTCTTCGATCGCCCGATCGCAATTCCGACTACTGACAGCCGACACCAGCGTGAAGGTGCGACATTGTCGGCCGTGTTTTTTAAAGAGGTTGTCATCCTCTAAGTCCAAACGAAATTTCGAATGGATGGGCGAAGCCTGCCAGGATCATCAGTCCTGAGAAGGCGTAATACATATTGGTGCCTGTTTGCACGGCAGGCTGCATGTATTGTCGAGAGTAGACTGGGCGAGGCGAGTAAATCCGACCTCAAGCCGTCACGGAGGGGCGCGTAACCGACCGCCAACCGTGTGCCAGGGCGCAACGAGGCGAGTAACCGACCTCAAGTCGCCGACCCCCGGCCAGCCTAATCCTCCGAATTCCCGCACCCTGCGAGGGGTACGCCAGAAGAAAGGCCACTCCCAGATGCTGTCGCCTAGCACCGCGCGCAGGTTTCCCATTGCGCCGAGATCCCACGGGTTAAATCCGACCGTCACATGCTCCAAGCCGTTAGGCCCGGCAATCCCCATCGGCCATGCCTGCTGGGGGAGGTTCCGGATATACGCCGTCGTCTCTTTGTGCGTCTGGTTCCGAAGTCCCTGGTTAACCCATTGACCCCGGAATGGCGCCTTCTTCACCCACAGGAATACGAAGGGAAGGGCTCCGGCAGCCACGACAACTGGGGACAGCGACCACCTGGTTCCAAAGGACGACAGTGAGAAGCAGAGAATCCCCAAAGAGTAGAGGTGGAAGACCACAACCCAACCCATAAAGAGCAGGTATGGCTTCTGAGTCTCCAAGGAGACCGGACACCATAACCACCAACACTAGATCAGATGACCAGAATCATTAGCCGAGTTCTGCCAACACGAGGGAGAAGGAGGATAACTTACATAGTGGTCAAAGAGCGCGATGCACCCCAAATCCACCCCCTTGTTCGTCGTGCCGTGGTACATCCGGTCCAGTATCGACCCAGGGCCCTCCCCACCTTCCAAGTCGGCGTTACGGGAGCAGCGAAGGCAGAGGTTGGGTCGGAACCCCAGGTCGAACCAGTACCGGGAATCGTCGGCGTCGGCCAGGGTCTGCATAACCATCTTTCGGCAGGTAACAGCGCCTTTGGGGATCCGGTACCCCCGTCGGATAATACCGAACGAATACCACCAAAGGGACACCAGGCAGCCGGCTGTGTGAAAGAGGACGAAGACGTAAATACCCAAGAGGGCGTAGGCGGTGACGAGCTCCGAGGGCGGGCGGAGGGTCCAGAGGGGAACGTCGCGGGCGGCGGGGATGAGGTGGTGGATGACTGACATAGGTTAGTAAAGAATAGAAGATGTGATAGGATAATGGAATGGGATGGATATCGGACGAACCCAAAGTATGGCAAACCAGCCAGGAGGTCGCGACCATGTCGAAGACCAACAAAACCGGGATCCACGAGGAGATCCAGGCGAACGAGGCGTTGGCGATGGCCAGGGTCACGCCAAGAACCCAGGCGGCGGAGGAGGAAACCGTCTCAACAACGGATTCCATGGCTGCGGCGGCGGCGGCGGCGGCGGCAGAGAGCAGATGGCGGCGGCGGAGAGCAGATTGCGGCAGGTTCTGATGAAAGGACAAAGAGTAGACGAAAAGAAAGACGAGAAGGCAGTTCACTTGAGATTCGTCTGTAGTCAAGTCAGCAAAGTTTGATCGAAAACTCGTCCTTTGGGGGTGATCAACGTACGTTACTCGTGGTCCGAAGAAGAGAAGAAGTTCAGAAGAGGGGAACGGGGCGAGAAGGGGATTAAGTAGAACGCCCACGAGAGAGTTTTTGCGGGCTTCCTTCCTTCTCTGGCGTGATCATGAGTCCCCGTACCTTCCTCCTTCTGAAGAACCAGCAGGTTCGTCAGGCATGGAGGCACCACAATGACGACACGGGCGTTGAGAGACAACGAGGGAAGGAACGCCATGTCGAGGAGCGGAAGGCACCCCAAAGAATACTAACTTTCAAGGTAGGAAGGAAGTGCTCCCTGCATGGCAGGAATTGCAGCAGCTATCAACACACTTGAATCGTCATGAGCAACAAATAGCAATCACTGGCGAACCTGTCTTTTACCCATGTTGCCAGACTCCCTTCACATACCTTGCCCGCCTTGAGGAAGGACGCATTAAGGTCTGAGATGATAGTTGCCAAAGGTCCTTTCATTCTTCGTTCTTTCCACTCTCACTCATGCTTCAGCATGCCGGCATCAAGCGTCTGTAACCAGGAAAATAAGGTACCTTCCTAGGTACCTCTGGCAGACTGGCAGAGATGACTACTGGAAGGAACGAAGGCGGTTGGATTGGGAAGAGCAAGAGCAAGATGAATGTAACTGGAGCTTACAAGACCAGGGAAAGCAAGACCCGTGGAAGCAGGATGCCTAACCTACCTAGACAGGGCGGAAGGCATTTTCTTGTCTAATTCAACGCGAAAACCGCACAAGTCTCCGAAAAGGGTAGGACCGGACACTGTGAATCCCTGCAATGATAGCAATCACGATGCGTGACTGCAACTTCGAAGGTATCTGCTGGCGATCTCAGAGGATCAGGCTTATTGCAGAGGCAGGAAGCCGAAGTCTTGCAATAAGCCTCAAAAACAAGACTTATTATTGCCCGACAGCAAGTCCGGTTGTTAAGGTGTCTTTTCTCAAGGCATGGCACTGGACTTGCACTTTCCTGAAAAATCTGATGTCTACCTTCGTTCCGAAGAACAGCAAGTGATTGGCTCGATTGAGTGGACAACTCGAAGATTCCAAATGGAAGTGGAAAGAGCCTTCACTCCGCGGTCCTTCTCATTACACGGCGACTACACGCGGTGTAGGTACTTCACCTCACTTGGTAAGTAAGGTAGCTGAAGGAAGGCAGGTCCGTTGGTGGTCAAAATGAGCTGCTGTGATTGGTTAGGAGAGTTTGACCCGCTCCCGTCCACGCCGTCCCACCTTCCACCTAGATTGGGATAGGTGGGTCGCCAAATGATGAGCGGCAGAGCGCAGTGCTTTCCCGACTCCTACAGCAGTGGTACGTTTGAAATTTTCCGAAGGGTGACGGGAAAACCTGAACTCAGACACAGGCCGTCGATCTGTAGGACTTCTTGTCAGTAACAGGACCTCGCCTGCCTCACTTGCTCGAATCCGCCCTGGTCAGGTCACTTCTGAGCCTACCTTATGGGGGCAGTCTCCAGGGTCATTTATCTTGCTTTGGGATCATTCAAGAAAGAAGGAAAAGGACGATGAGAACATCTACCTTATCGAAAGTTCTCACGAGCTCCATCCACACCTCAAGCTGGAAATGGCACCCTTATGGGTTCGCACCTTAGTATTCAAAACGCCCCTGAGAAATGGAAAGTGCACACCAAAATAGTTAAGATACCCAAGTAATAGTGAAAACAAGGTGCCTGCGCCAAACGACGAGGAATTGAATTGGACTTGCCGTTTCTGATGTTTGAGTCTCTTTATCGTGGATTAGGAAAGAGGTGCGGACCGGGCAAACGACCTTTCTGTCGGCAAAAAAAGCCTCTTAAAGTTGGGAGGAAATGTCGGCGTGGCGACCTCACACCCACTTCCCCTCTTAACAGCCCCCGGATGTTCAGTGCTATATATATGATAATTTATCCTAGTATCGCCTAAGATCGCCTCATTTCCTTGTTGACTGAGTGCTTCTGAGCAGTCATCCGTAGCATGGTTGAGGTATTTCGGCGGCGGCGAACGGTCTGAGCGTTATGGTAGAGTATGAAATTACTGGCGGAGCTCTTTCCACGTCAATATTAAGAAAGATACATAGGTAGGCCGAGGTATCTTACCTCACCTTACATGGCAGAAGGAGGTGTCAGGGATTGGGACCCACTACGGCGAGCTCTGGTACCTTAAAAGGAAATCAAGTATCGGGACGTCTTGAACCATCTCCTCAGCAGGCAAGGGCCTGGCAGGCAGCCACCTTACTAAGAGCTCTTTGGGATTCTATTCGACACGTAGAAGAAGGTACCTGTTGAACTCCCAGTAATTAAGCGGTATGGGCTCCAGCTTGCGCGAAAGACATCAAGTGTTGATGGCGCATTGCCATTTTCAAGCGGCCAGCGATACGGTAGTCTAACAACTTGTCCAAATGTCCCTTTCTAGGAGGAAGAGCGTAGAAGGTGCTTCCTCATCCGCTACGACACTTTCTCTCAGCAGCTCTAGTTTCTTTCGCAGGTTACCAATCTCCTACTGCCCAGCGTTTGCCGCCGAGGACTTTTGGTGGTAATCCCCACAAGTTTTGGCGAAAGTGACACTAGCAGACGAGAAATCGAAGCTTCGCAGGAACCAAGCCTATCTGTCGGCAGTAATCTCAAAGTGACAACCTCAGTAGATTGGAAATGGCTCACGATCCGTTCAAGACCACCTTCCCGTTTGCTCGTATCTTAACTGAGGTATGGTATTCCAATACTCGTGACTGACAAAGGAGACTTTCCATCTTGAAATTTACGCAGGGTGGAGGCTTCGCGGCATACCATGGCCTTGGGAAACCTTATGTGGCCGGTGCGCCTCTTGGCCAGGCCAGCCCTAGGTTGCAGGAGAACCTTGATACCGAACTGTTGGCCTCAATTTGACAATCCATGTATAAGCGTAGTTCTCAAGGTTCATGGATGTTTGACCTTTGAGACCATGAGTAATTTTCGGTTAAGGTTCTAGGCCTTGAGCGTCAGGGCGGATATAGATGGTATGGACAAATACATAAAGAGCACGATACCTCCCAGAAAAGCACGATAGGACGCTTAGACAGAAGACACTCTTCCACTTACAACGTCTCTGATTTTCAGGAATTAGGCCTCCTCAAGCTTCATTCCTCACCTATAAGCATCTGTCATTCCCAAACTTCATCACTCATTCACTGTTCTTCTATCAACCAAGCATCCATCCTCATCCAGCATCACTTATCAGTCAAGCCTCGCATTCTACCCAAGCGTCTTGGCACAGTGGACGCAAACGACATCACAAGAAGCACTACTCCACAACACAGCTATCAACCACCAAGATGAAGTCTGCCGCTGCCATTTTCGCCATCCTCTCCAGCGTCTCTCTTGCAGTCGCAGGAGAAATTGGAGGGCCAAAGGAGGAAGAAAAGCTTTCGAGGGGACCACTTCCCCTTCACCAGCTCCCCGAATGCTGGCAGGGTTGTCTACAAAGCGAGAATCACTGGTACCGACCCGACATTAATAAAGTCAGCGTCTACTACTTCTGTGTGGACCCGCTATTCGATACCCGCTTCTGGTCTCTACATGCCCTTGCTACATGCACGGCTGGCGCTTGCAGCAAAGCTGAGGCTTACGTGGCGCAAGACTGGTACTTTGATATTTGCCAAATGAACTAAGCTTCAAGGCCAAGGATATCCAGTCAAAGTACCCAGAACTTACCAAGGAGAGAAACAGCTTTTGAGGCAGTTTTTACTCTTCGATCAAAACACATTCGCAAACTGCGATTCATTCACAAATACCCCCGCGCTGCTGCCACAGAAACTTAGCAGAATGGGAAGCTTGTAGGAGTAAAGGATAGGAATTGACGAGAAGAATAAGAGTAGATGGGAACCTTGTGAGATGATGAGGGATAGGCGGGTGTCTTTCTGAGAACGATGGTTCGCGGCGTTTTGGTAATCACTCACTCGATATAAGGAGTGAGGCACAATTACAAACAACTTCACTATGCCCCTCGCAAGTCCCTGAAAGTGTCACTGACGCCAGGAGTATTGCAATTTCCAATGATAAAATTCGCCTTCGAACTGGCTATGATCGTTCATCTGTGTGAGGGAATTGAATGAGCAGGCATGAGTCGACGTGATTCAAGAGCCGCAATGCATCGCTCTCATAAATCACGCCGAAAGAGAAGACGTGGTTTGCGCTCGCATCGTGATTGGTCGAAGCTTTGAAATCAAGTGTGTCATCCAATGCACACCATTCCCCCCGGAGCTAAGCCAACCCCGGTCGCCATCATCGATCTCCCCCGATAATGCCATTCCCACTTCATCCTCATGTCAACTACCATCACCGTACACATATGATCTACCTACATTAGACCTCTACGCATTATTAGAACCCGTCGCCTCGAGAACAGCCCCTAGACCTGCGATAGACGCCTCACAGCACCAAAGCCCCGTCTTCTCCCCAACCACCTAAACTCTCTGTTATCTGCAGCACCCACCCCGCGATCGCCGCCCTTATCGCCCCCTTATCGGCAGCCCTGAACCCTACCTCCCGTCACCTCTCCTCTGGCTCTTCCTCTCCGCGTTTCGCTCTCAGCATCCATCCATCTACCTTATCCAATTCCCGATCCCACTGCTGCCGCCGAAAGCCATCCCTTCACGCGATCATCACCCCGACCACCCAACATGGCAATCTTCAGCGCCGTCCCTCCCCCCGAGGCCATCGACCACCAGGTCCCAAACACCGTCTCTTCGCCGCCACCCCAGTCCCAGACTCCGGTCGCCGCCCACGTCGCAGCCCAGAGCGCGACCACCGGCTCCGTCGATATCGAGGCCTGGACTGTCTCCGCCCTCGAGTCCCTGAGCGTTAGCCCCATTGCCCGCGGCACGGGAACGCCGCTGGCTATCAACCTCGATGAGCAGGTCAAGAAGGCTTCTGCTGCTGTCACAATTGCCACCGAGAAGACAACGACGACGACTGTACAACAGACGCCTATCCGGCGACCATTGAGCAGGCGTGATAGTCAGAAGAAAAGGGAACAGCTTTTGAAGGGGAACGAGGGGAGCCGGGCGCGTCGGCGATGGGAGAATGGTGAGCCTTCCCTTCTCTTGGATACAGGAGTCCTTGCAGTGACAAACACATCCCCGCTGTCATCCTTTATCTTCCAATAGCTGACCACATTGTTCCCCTCTCATAGATCGCCTCATTGGCGTACCAAACGCTCAACCGCCCCTCCCAAGCGACTGGGAAGTCCATCCAACCTACCCGGTCCAAGTCGTCCCCTACCAAGTCGCCCAGTACTGGGATACCGGCCTCCGCCAACGCATCGAAGAGAAGACCGCCAAGCTCCAGGCTCAACGCAAGAAACAGCAACGAAAGGACGGGTCAGCGACAGGCTTATCTGTCGGCGAGGTGCCGCGTGACCTGCGCGATACTGCAAAGCGGACGCCCGCCGTTCGCGGCTGGGTGCGTGTGCTCGAAGAACCCGTGCGGAGTTTCTTGAAGGAGCGGAGCGAGGCGAGCGATGCGGAGGGAGATAGCGAGGACGAGGAGATCGTGTTTGTCGGCAGGAAGGGGATGGCTTCTGCTGGCAAGGGGTGGAAGAAGGCTAGGCGGGAGGTGGGGAGTGAGAAGGTTGATGACGGGATGGTGTTTGACTCGTTGGGGGATGACGAGAGTGCTTCTTTCAAGTATGGCCCTGCCCCCTTTCTCTTTGCGATGTTTATTGACCTTGGTGTTCTACAGGCGATGGTTAACGCATTCCATCTCGGATTACTACGGTCTACAATCCCACTCTGTCACTACAGGCGAGCCTGCCCGCCGGGTGGTGTACGTGACGGTACGGGAGCAAGGCAAACGGTCGAGTCCGAAGAAGCACACGGTCTTGCCTCGTCCTCTGTGGGAGATGTGCTAAGAATTTTGCTGCCTGTCGCAGCATCGCTCTTGTTGCAAACCGGACCTTTCCAACGCACTCTTATAGACTGCTTTTGTGAGTAGATGCCTACGAAGCTTGGAGGAAGAAGGGTTCTGTTGGTTAGATACGTTTGAGACGCTTAAATCATAGAGCATGCCCACGCATGTGGCATTGGGAGCAGACAAACTGCGGTGATTTCTGGAGCGAGATCTCGGATGGAGACTCGCCGGGCTTTCAAACCTAGAATGCCAGTTACATAGCTTTGGTCGGCGAGGGCGACTAACGAGCTCGCGGTTTGATGCAGATATTTAAATGTGAGCTGAAACGTGATCGAACATCTTTCGACGCACAAAATAGCCATGTCGGAGTATTCGGTAGCCAAGTCGGATGCATTGGTACGAATATTGCCCAAGGCAGTGAGGTCAAACCCGCGCGATGGGACCTCCAATGCTCGAGGGACTACAATACGAATAGCCCAATCGAACCCCGGCTTCACGAGCCTCTTTCCGGCTACATAATTTTCAGTCGCGAATGTGAAGGCCAGAGATGTCAAATACAGAGCGGTGGCAAATGCTGGAATTGAGGATGGAGGATAACCCCGTGGCCTTGGCTTCAAACACGGTGTTCATGTGCTTACTCTACTCCATCGGAGCCAGCTTGGCTTGTTTTGTATCATTGGTAGCCCACTGGGCCACCATACATACATTGCGATATCCAACCCAACTTCATTCTGCGGGAGCTAGCTTCCATGTCGATGAATATTCGATGGGTACGGGAACGCCGAAGAACCCCGCGGCGCAACATGCACGAGAGACAAGATGGGTAGAACAACTTGCAGAATTAAGGTTCGGCCGTATTGCTCGCTTTCGTTCTGGTCGTTTTCGCGATCACTTTTTCGTGTTTTGGCGGTTATTCCACGGCGGATGTGTCGTTTTGCTTCTGCTCCACGTGCCCGGTACCTACCTCAGTGGGCGAGTATCTCAAGGTCAAAGGTAAGTATAGCATCACCGTCAAAAAACACGCCGACGATTAGGTCACTGTGGAAACGTTTCGCGAATGGGATGTATTTCAGCCTAGAAAAGGGGAAAAGAAGAATAGTATTTGCAAGGTCTCCCCGTTATTAAAATAAGTACTGCTACATCCTGCGTTGCCAGGCTCAAACAAATTTAAGAGCGCTCTAATTGGGAGCACTCAATCGTCCGTGGCATTGTAATTCTTGTGCGGGTCACCAATGCCGCCTGGACGCAGGAGAGGTCTCGTCTCTCGCTCAACCTGCCGCTCCTCTCTGTCTTGTAACCGCTCCAGCTCCTCCTCTGTGTCGGCGTACCGTTCGGGATGGGCCGTGTAAGGGCCAGGAAGGCCTTGCTCCCAACCTTCCGAGTATGTTCTGGTCGGGTTGGGGCGTCTCGGCTCGTCGACGAGGGTTGGAGATTGCGGCTCTCCGTGGTGCTCCTGAAATTCGTAGTAAATGGCCATGGCGAGAAGAACGCCCTGTATTGACGCAGTTAGGACGAAAACGCCCCACGTGCTCCATCCTTCCCAGCCAAGGCGGGCAAATAGGCTTCCGGCGAAGAGGAAGCCGCCGGGGGTCTGGATGCACATCATGGGGATGCTCAAGCTGCCGACGTGCTTGATGTGGTAGGTTGTCCAGATCTGCGGAATGTACTGGACCGCGGCAAGAGCGGCGGCCATGACGCCGAGGAAATTTGCCCACAAGTCGAGGTGGTCTCTGAGCGCGGTGGTGAAGACCACAGTCAGGATGATGACGAGCAGGCCGTGGATCAAGCTCACGGAGCCGACCATTATAGCAGTGTGCCACGAGGGTGGCTTATCGACCAGCTCCTCATCGGGAACAGTGGCATTATCGTACCGGAAGAAGATGAGGAACAGGACAAGGCTGCCAGAGGCACGAGTTAGTGCGTGTATGTGCCATTGGCGAACAAACATGGGAGGGGAAACTCACATCAGCGCGAAGGAGATCCATTGCATGCCCAGCTGGGCAATTCCAAGTAAGCCAGCAGCACATTCGAAAGTACCCAATTCGCTACAGCAGGCAATGTCGCGTCTCGAGGGCGGGACGGTCAGAATGTTGGCGAAGCCGGCAGTGGCGGACGTGACTCCCAGCAAGACGAACCATGGCGAGATGCCTTCCGAGGTACCTCTGGCGATGATTCGGTAGTGCTGCGGCAGGTAGGAGACGATGAGACCGATGAGGATGATACTGTGTGGAACAAATTAGCTGTTGCTTGGCATAATACAGAAACCCTTCGTAGAGCTGGACTCACATGGAAATCGTCAGATTGAGGAAGCCAGGAGCGCGAAGCTCGGCGCAGCGGTCGTCAAAGATTGTCACAACCATACTTGGTAGCAGGACCGTCCGGAGTATGGCAATGTGCAGGCGTTGGTCTCGGAAGTGGGTTGCAATGAACAGCCTCGGCTGTTTTGGTGGGCAGTGACACCAGCTCTTTCTCGAGTATAACCACAGGCGGGTTGTCCGTCGCGTCGCAGAGGAAGGATGACGGGGTCCCGGAAACCCAAAGCAAAGCGGCAAGATGGAAGAGGAAGTAGCAGCTAGGCGAGCATTGCGTAATCGTCGGAAGGTCAGGAATAAGTAGTCGCGGGACTTTGGATTCGCCTTGGCTTCGCTACTGTCGGTGGTTCGGTGATTTGGGTGGGGATGCAGTCGTCGAGAGATGGAGAAGAGAGAGAGACGGGACGATGGAGTCGGCAACAGCGAAGATGGGCGCGAGAGAGTCCGGCCCACGGCGACTTGGCTGCAAGTTGCGGTGGTAGTGGATGGAGGACAGGAGATGGCCTGCCTGGCTCAGATTGATGTGTAGGTAATACGCAGGAAACTGCAGAGATGATGAGTCGACCAGCCACGGGTCGAGAGAATGTCTCCAAGGTCTCACCTGCTGAGATCCACAGTACCTGGGCACTAAAGGCAAGGCAGAAGGACACTTGAGTGTTGGAAGGTCAATCGAGCTGTCGAGTCGGTCTACTGGTTGTGGTGCTTTGGAGGAATAAAGTCCGGCACCAGCGGGGTTGGAGATTGGGTGTCAGAGTGGAAGGAAAGCCACACGGGTGACCTACCTACCTTACCGCAGGTACCTTAGGTACGGTGTGAGGTAAGGACGGGAGAGGCACGGAGCACGGGGAAACAGTGGACGGCGCAGTGCAACCTGCGAAATTGGTGTCACAGGCTCACAGCGGGCAGGCCAAAGCAATGGAGTAGGTATCTTCCGCTGGAAGGGCCACTGGAGGGTCAGCGCGGTGCGGCGTTGCAGGCGGCAAGTCCCTCCCCAATCAGCGCTAGGACCAGGAACATGCATCGCTAGCTTCCCCCATGACGTCGTTGTCTCAGTGACCTCCACTCCTTCACAGTGCACCTGCCCGCAGTAGTGTCGGGACCGTATCTACGTACCTGATACTGCCCTGGCTGAAACTTAGGAGCGCTCCGTTGCTTACCTAACACCATAGAAGGAAGGCACTCACGAGTCGCGGTATCTTTTGGGCTTTGCAGCAAAAAAACTTCCGGGAACCGTGCCGTAACTGCCTAGGTTAGTACGTGAGGCGCCTCACCTCACCTTGCCTTACTTTGGTGCTTGAGGAAGGAAGCCGTTTGAGTTCTGGGGCTCTACTGCCGATCAACGTGCCTGCCCTCCCTCCCCAACTTGCCCAGTAAGGTACCTAGCAAGGGACTGCCTTCCTCGCCAACAGCGGAAACGGACCACATGATGACCCGACCTTCACCTGCACACCCACTTGGTCGGTGAAGAAGGTGGTGAGCCAGTTTAGGCCAGTGGTGAAGGCAACAACCAGGGCCTCTCACCGAAGCTGTCTCCACTCTTGCAGGGTCGCAATTGAAAATGCAGTATCCGTAATGCAGACACAGCGCTGCAATCTTCCTCTTGCGATTCGGACTTGACCTCAAATCCAAGGCAAAGACGATGCATCAATCACATCACCACTGACACCTGCACACCGCGCCAACACGAGTCGGGGAGCATCCCATCCATCCCTCCACATTCCCTTGACTCCTTCTCAATGGCAAATACCTGCACATTCTACCCCCGTTTAGCTTCCTGGACGATATCACTGCGATCTTCACGCCTGCAGAATCTTGATTCTTCAACGCCCTGCGCGATCCAGCCTCACTTTCCATCGCCAATCACACCCACCACTGAGTAATGCTAGTGCATCTTCAATATCGCCCACCTACCCTCCAACCCTAATCAACGATGCATCCCGCGGCGGAAAACAAGGATGCAGACCCCATGCAGCAACATTACGACCCAGCAAACTCGGCCAAGGACCCCTCCCATCTTTCCGCCCCCTCCATGGACCTCGTAGCTTCCTCCGAGATAGCCGCTAGAGATTCTGATCCACCAGGAAACCACAAGAGCTTCTTTCGCGGGGTCCAATGGACTCCTGACGGCACAACACTCATCGCTTCAACGTCCGACAACCGGCTGTCGGCCTACGTACTGCCGGCAGATCTCCTCGACCCCAACGGCCGGCCCCGGACGTTGACGCCGCAGGGGCAACTGCGTCTACCGGAACCCTTCTACTCGGCAGCTGTGTCACCCTACTTCTCCTTGACCGACCCGCAAACCCAGCTTGCACTTCTCGGCTGCAAAGACCACCCTATCCAGCTCTACCACGTCTTTGCAGACTCCCAGTCTTCGCCTCCGCTATGCTCCTACAAGCTTATCCGACGGGAGACAGAAGAGTACATCTGCCCTGAGTCCCTCTTGTGGTCCTGGCCTGGGACCCATTTCCTAGCCGGCTCGACAAATCGCCTCGACCACTTTGACGTATCACGGACGGGCTCTGATGGTCCCATCTTGAGTATCCCTACCATCCCTTCCAAGCGGCATCTCCTCAAAGGTGGCGGCGTTGGCATGAAGGGAATGGTCTCTGCGCTGTCGAGCCAATACCCGGACGAGTCTGGCGCTTGTATCGTCGCCGCCGGCACCTGGTCCCGTTGGATGGGTCTCTACGACGTGACTCGAACAAACAAGGCCGTTGCGAACTGGAGCATCCAAGGCGTTGACAGGTCTCACTTCGGCCGAGACATCGGGGGAAACGGCATTGTTCAAACCATATGGAGCCCATGTGGACGCTATCTAGCCATTAATGAGCGACAGGCAAACGGCATTCTCGTCTACGATGTGCGTGGGACAGGCCAGCCTCTGAGCGTCCTAGTGGGCCGAACCACCAACAGCCAACAAAGGCTGGCCTGCGACGTCTTCCCTGGTACTGGTGGATCGTCCGGTGGTTTCGAGCTATGGGCGGGAACAGAGACTGGCCAAGTCCTCGTCTATGAAGCCGTTGGCTGCACAGAGGGCGTTCATGACCAGTCATGGGACTGGGCTGCCCATCAATCACCCATCGGGAGCTCAGGGGTCCACCCTACAGGATCGGTAATCGCCACTTGCTCTGGCGGATGGTCCAGCCATGGGGATGAGGAATTGGACAATGGCCTGGGTGTCGCGGGCAACGACGGCCAGCCCCGCCTGGCATCGACATGCATCAGCTCCGAATCATCACTCAAAGTCTGGACCTTGGCTCAAGGTCCAATAAAACATCCAGCCGATGGCTTCGAGGCATCGTGAGCAATCTGATTTCGAATGCTCTTTGGTCTGTAACAGGCGAAGCGCCTCGTTGGCACGCCTGGTATCATCGATGCCCTAACGGCATTTCGAATCCCGAATCCTCTGATGACTCCGCAGACCAAGAGCATCATCCTACTGCAGGGTTTGGAACGATACATGCAAGTGAGTCGCCCTAGACGTATCACGAGAAGGATTTTGCTGTCTTGAAAACATGATGGCGGTTCTGGTCTGACAACACTAGTTTGGAGGTGATGATCATGCGACGACTCCGGCTACCGTAATACGGCCCTAATTCCTCCGTTGTAATGGCGAGGTCGATGGCCTGGCGTGTTTCTGAATCTGGCCGAGGTCTCAGTATGCAAGCTTGACGACAACATGATTTCGGATGACTGAAGCCAAGATCTACGAATAGCTAAAAAGCGTATCCCTTTGCATGGCATGCCGCAGATGTTGATGCGGCGTAAAATTACTGAAAAGAAACCAAGACACCCATTGCTTATCCATATTCACGTCGTTCTGTGCAGATTCGGTTCCGCCGCCGATCAACAGGAGCGTCGAGTCCCAGAGTCATCCGAGCTATTCTGTCCCTCCAGACTGTTCAGCCACACGGATCAAGAATTGCCCGGCGAATCAGATGGAACTCGACAAGTGGAGTGAGGACGTGGAAACTGGCTCAGGCCGTGTTGTGGGAGGGACCAAGAGGTCAGCCGCAGGTGCTTGAAGTAAATGTCGACTCCAGAGGCTGAGAGACCAGCTTGTGCCTCGCATACCCGAGCTCATGTCAGCGGATATCAAGACCATACGGATGGAGAGACCGAAGTATAGGCTTCACATGCCATCGTATTCTTATCCATGCAAAGTCTTTTCGGCCGAACGGGTGATATCAGCGCATTCAACTCAGCAGTGTCGTCATCGCCGACCTGGCCGGCCGATTCGGAGACTGTGCAAACAACATTTCAGCTGAGTTCTGCAAGCCACCATCACCATGTCGCCATTCTCTCCATATTGGAAAGCCTCGTCAGTTCCTCGCTGGTTCCGTCACACGGACCGCCGGCGAGGCCTTCAAACACAACTTTCTCTGTCCGACTTGAACGGCGCCACGACCAAGCGTTCTCGCCATTAGACTATTCCCCGTTCTGGACAGACACTGTCGTTCCTGACTAGCATGCCCCACGTTGCAGCCTTAGCCCGACAAAGACCATAACCTTCAGACGAGCAACTGGCTCCCGCTGTTCATGTCCTCTTTGGTTGGAATCGCGAGGCTCCCCGCTGACTTTTCGCATCGACCGCCTATCAGTGGCCGTGCAGACGTCCCTCCCTTGGCTTACATTGTCCACAATGAAAAGCAACGGTCGTATTCCGATCGACATCAGATCCCACAAAATAAGGTCGTGGTCTATCTACTCATGGCAGGGCATTGAGCGAAACGACCCTGCCGATTGAATGGACACAACCAGCATCGATGGCATCTGAGGCGCGTATGCTCTTCATGGCATCGGCAGGGATACTCTGGGCGATTTTTCGGAACCGCTATCCAACTTTGATGCCTAGAGCTGACCGACGGTACCGGCCGAAAGCAAAACGTTGAGCGAGAAGATTGCTTGGATCGCCGCTGCCGCGGGGCCTGTCTCAGAGACATGTAACTTGGACGGACTTGAACGACCAAGTGTGCAGCTGCTCCATCTACATCTTCTCATGTCAGGAATCAGACTTGGGATTTTGCTGTCCTAGCGGCCGGCTG